ATTCCTTTCTTTGTGCAGCCAGTTTGAACGAATCACATAAGCAGATGTTTTATTTTGGAACAGTGTATACGGTATCAATTATATAAACTGTTTAGCCAATTTATACACTGTTTACATGTCTTAACCCTAAAAGGGCCGGGGCCGAATCCACCCCCCCCCCCCCTTAACTTTTTCGCGATACCCTTGCAACCCGAGCTGTCCTGACTTTTTTTGCCTCGGGTCTTGCGCATAATTTTATGTTGATACCAAAAACATAAAATTCGGACCACGGGTTGCCGCGCAGCGAAATATTTTCCAGCGCTACGCGCCATGAAAACGGAATTTTCCCATATACGCAGTGTACATTATTTTCAAATGTATTTATCATTTTAAACCTTTTTTTAAATTTCAACATGACATCTGGTAAAATCAACCAGAGTCCAGGTGCAAACACGGGGTCAAATTCGCTTGTACTTTTTCCTGAGACAAATAATAATCGGAAACCGCTTCGTTATTACATTATCAAGTAATCGTGTTTTTATCGACTACCGAGTATAAGTATCCAGTATCGAATATTTAGCATAATCGATATCATGCAATCTGTTAATGATTGTCACATTTTGTATAAATTAAAGCACCGTATTACTGATATTTCAAGCGATATTTTGTAACCACCTTGAAGACATGGGCGTCGCCAGGATTTTTTCTAGAGGGGGCAAAGCATATTTTTCCAAAAAATTCTTGTATTTCTGAACAAACTCTCGATTTCTCAGTTTTAGACGGGGGCAGGGACATTTTGCCCCCCCCCCCCAACTCATTAAATTTACACCACTTTTTTTTTTTTTTTTGCTTTTCCAGGGGGGAGGCAAGCGCCCCCCCCCCCCTTGCCCCCTCCTCGCGACGCCCATGCTTGAAGACGAACAAATTGGAGGCACAACTTGATAGCAACGATGCAAACCCAGTGCTGGGCAAACACGAATTCCTCGTCAACCAGAGAATTCAATTAAATATACATAACCATATGGGCTGTGTTTGCTGTTTTAATAGGTTATATAAGCTGTGGATATGGTTCAACACATTGAATATATACAAATTACAGTTTCGCATATCGTAGCATTATTCTCCACGAACACACGGCCGGCTGAGTTCCAAACTCTCTGTTAATCAGCTGATGGTTGCTATGGTGTGGAAAAAGTAAACATATCGATTGCCCTAATCGCAGCTGGCCATCCATTGCTGGCATGAAGCCAAAAACGCTGTTCATGGGCAAAAAATGATGTAACTTTCAAGGGAGATTAACTATTGATACAAATGTGATAAGTCCACGCGCGCGCACAGACGCACTACGTGCACGCCGTGAATGAAAGGCCAGTTCGGCTTAGCTTTTTGAGACTGCTACATCGAAAATAAACCCACCTCCTCCCCTTCGCCCTCCATACTTGATACTTCTATAAATGGTCGATACTGGCTGGGAGCGACGGGCAGTGCCTCAATTCAAACTAAATAAACAAGTTGGGTAAATAGTTCTTAAGTAAGACTTTGAATTTGGACGTTAAACATTTAACAAGTTGTGTTTAATCTTTGTAAAAAAGTACACCAAGCACCCATTTGTACTGATGGGGCATGCCAACCGTCTCTACGAACGGTTGACCAAATCGGTGTGCTTTAACTACAAATACATTCTTGAGTAATATAGGCATATAGATACTAAAGTCACGTGACAAATACTTAATTCACGTTACAAAACACTTTGGCTATTATCCACTTGTTCTGGTTGGGCTAGTGAATGGTTGGCAAGCGTGCCAAGTTTTTGGGCCCAGTGATGCCAAGCATGGCAAGGATTTGGGGTAAGCGTGCCCCGTTTTAGCTTGTTTAAAATGTTTCTAAGGCAAATATCTTTTAGCAAATAGAAAGGTAATTATTGTTATGTTATAGCTTGTTAACGTATTTACGGACATTTAACACAGTTAAACATTGACCAAGGAGAAATAAATTAGCGGCTCAAAATCTATGCCAGAAAACTTAGTCAAATCAACTCTCACCGTACGTGGTTTTGGGTGTTGTCTGAGAATAATTCATTCTATCACTGAAAATAAAATACATTTTATTCTGGGTTTTTTAAAAGAAACTCTGTTTGAAAGGGAAAAGGGAACAAACAGCAATCATCTGTACCGTTTTCTTTGACATCCAAATCGACAAATGTCAACTATTGGGTTTTGTTTGTTTGTGTGTTTGTGGGTTTGTTTTTTGCATTGAAAAATAGAGGACAATAGGGACCACAATTCCCGAAGGTCTACGATTGACGATCGTGTACAAAACATATGGGGGTCTTAAAGTTAAAGTACAAACCAAAGAGGGACAATAGGGGGTCCACGACTGGCATGGTGTTTACACACTGGTGGGCGTGGGTATGGGGGAACATTTGAGAGGGGGTATACAATGTACATCTAAGCCTGCTGAACATCTTTGTTCCACACAATTATGGGGGTCAAAAATGAATTTTACTGTTTCAAGTTTTTGGTAGTAATGATTGTTGAATATTAAGTGTGGTCTTGCAAAGTACAGGGGCGGATCTATAGCTGTTAGGAAACGGAGGTTGCATGAAGGGAATTGCGTGAAGGCGTGCCACATTGTACGCCATGCTAGGGGCCTCCGGGACATTTCCCTCCCCTCCCCTCCGGATTTTTTTTTTGAAATCTACGATGCTTTTGGCTGTTTTCTAAGGCAATGCAACAGTAAATTTAGGAACTGATAGCATGGGGGTCGTAACATCCCACGCTAAACGTAACAAACGTAATGTGATGTACAAATATACTGTCCGTTTTTTCGTTTCTAATCAAGACAGCCAGAAGCAGACATCCTGTTTTAATTTACTACTAATAAATGCCTATCCATTGCAGTCGTGCGACTATTGTACCCAGTTTCTTTGTTGGTTTTTGCTTGTGAGATGGTCACTATTGAGAATAATTGATAAAGGCAGAGCAAAAAATAAGTACGAACACGTAAGGCAGTAAGTAATTAACACTATAGAGTAGCGAAGCGATGTATTTGTAGGGTGGTGAGGTACTAACACCCCCCCCCCCCCCCCCCCCCCGCTCTCTCCAAAATTTCAATATGCTGGGTGGCCGCGTCGAAAAATTCAACAATGCACATCTGTACTGCACGAACCGCGCGCCGTCAAAAACGATGTCACCATGCACGGACGGCCAAGGTGTGGCCGTCCACTGGAGCACCAGTTAGCCCAGCTTGCGCCACGCGGAAAATCACGCTGCGCTATATGGGCCAGCGGAGAAAACGTCTTGAACTTTCCAATTCGCAAGAACTCGGAAATGGTATCATCTATTCATTATCAACATGGCAATGTCTTTAATTTGTTAAGGAAAACTTGACAAATATTTTTAAAATTTGATTAAATCCACGCAGGGTTTGAACAATTTTCGGGGGAAAATGTGGGGTTTTTTTTTCTCTCAGAAAAATCTCTTTTTTTCAGAATATTTTTTACATTTGGACAATCTTAGCTCAAAACATGATTGTTTAATGTTCTCAGATATTTTCATGAGATAAGGTCGTCTGTAACTTTTGGAAATTATGTTTAATTTGTTTCGGCTGATCAACGGGTGCGGAATGGCGCCATCTGTCGTCTGTGCGATTTCAGGGTCATTGTCCTGTCCGCCTGCGGGAAAAAAATGTAAGTGGTGCACAAGCGCAGTGGCATGAATATGTACGTGTTGCCACCCTCGAAAAATGATAAATCGAGAATATTCTGGAAAAAGCATAGGGATTTGAGAGGGGGATATGCTCTATCTGCCCCCCTCTAGAAAAAAATCCTGGCGACGCCTATGTCTGCCTCCGCGCGCTACAAATAACATGTTTTTGCCGAGTAACGCTTTTCTGTGTTTGTCAACGCATTACATCATGGGTTGCATACATTTCACGATAACATCCAATCGAGGCAGTTTTGGTATAAGCTAGTCGCAGATATATAGCTTGGATTTGGTCCATCAGGGGGTATTATTTGCACTGCCGGCCCTACTCTCTTCACCAGCCAACAAGCAGGCTAAGCCAGACATGACAGTCAGTCAGTAAGAGAGATAAATGCTTAGAGAACATTTGGAACTAGACACATCTCGAGGAAGGCACATCACTTTGCTCAGTTAAAGGGAAAATACAACATTTGCAAATATCGAAGAATAAAACTACCAAGTTTTTACGAAATACCTTACTGGGATGTTGGTAAATGACAGTCTTAAGCATCCTGTAAAATTATGGCACCTGGTGTCAAGTCATTTTCAAGAAAATGGTATTTTTTTGTACATTACCAACGGTGGTCGGCCGACCGTTGGAAAAACATAACTATTTTTCAACCACTGCTCCTAATTTACAAAAAAAAAAAAATTCTGTCCAAATGTTGTTTGCTATTGGTTGCATGTTTATGAACGGGTGAAGGCCAGGCAGCTAGACTGATTCCCTTACCTTACAATTTTCCGACATCTATAAATTGATCCATTTTAAATTTTTGGAAGCCGGGGAACCAGACTACTTAAACATTTTTGTTTTTCTTGTTTTTTCCAGCATTTTCGAACACAAAACTTCAAACATGTCAGCTAAACAATATTTGATCTATTATACTAACCACTTAAATAGTTCATTTCTGAAAATTACAGCCAAAGCCAGTGATGTACATTCCTTTAAACTTGTGTGTGCTAATTTGCGTCGAGCATCTCCAGCAAATCAATTCTCGGCTGAGGGTTGATCAGACAATGAGATAAACTGATACACTATTGAACTTTCACTTAGTAAGCAGCATTGACAACAGCGTATATTCTCGTACAAGTATTGCCGTGAACAAGTTGTCGAGACCCAGGGGTCAGGAGAACAATACTCATGACATTTACTGTGCATGCACGTTCCCAGCCAATCAGCGACGTCAGCCCCAAACACGTCATGTTCACATGAAGGTTGACCTTTCCACCCGTGCTTATGCTCCCGGACCCCAACATGCACACAAGGAAATTTTGTCCTTATGTCGAGTTTCTCACGATCGTAGTCCAAGTACAAACATTTCACATCCTGGTGTTTTGGTTTCATGCCATTGTAAACGCACGCATGTTTCCTCCTCAACTTTCGCAGCTGTTTATTTTCCACAGCGAATGCCCCGAATGTTTTTCATTTCATTGCCAAAACATATGACGCTTTGCCAAAACCTTATGGTATATGTTTTTATTTCAAGGACCAGTTTTAAATTCTTTCCTCGACTTTCAGGAAGTTTCTGCCATGCACTGACTTGCAACCACTTAAACCGTATACACTGTGCCAAAATAAAACATCTGCTAATGTGATTCGTTCAAACTGGCTGCACATAGAAATGAATCACATGCTCGCACGAACAGTGACACTGGAGCCTTTATGTAATGTAACACAGCAAAAAGTGCAAGTTGCAACTAAAATAGCCTACATTGTACTTGCCCCGCAACGTGAATAAAAGCAGCAAGGTTAAGCATTGTGTGTTTGTGATTTATTTATCTATTTGTGGAAACGCAAGCTTAGACTTTGCTCAATTCAACCAGAACCTAACAGTCCAAATTCCAGAGACGACAGGCTTGTCCTTTGCGATGACTGTTGGATCATTAATCCGATTTGCGGCCTTGTTTCTGTGCGAGCTCATCCTCAGCTTTGATTGTCAAGCCATCAATGCGGGTAAGTTTTTGAAATTCTACGACCCATGCATATTCGGGGTCTACCCCGAATATGCAATACCTAAATCCGTAGGGTTAGGGTTAGGGTGAGATGGCCAGGGCTAGGGTTGGGGAATATAGGTATGGGGATCATAGGCATTGGGGAACATACATGTATAGGTATGCACCCGCATGCTCTGCTTATAAACGGCCAGTTTGTTTTTGAGCCCATGGTTTACCTTAATAAAATGGCGGTGCAAGTGCAGTTGACATGATTCGTTCGTGTTGTACAAAACTCCTCTATGCCATCGTGCCCGAATGTTCGAATACATTCATACATGATGAATCAAATGTTGTATGTATTTAGATCTGGGCGCGGTACGCGGTGTTATTTGCAGCACATGTCGTCAATAGATCATGATTATTCAGCTAGTTCGATGTTTATTCATAAGAAAATAACAATGACGTCGCACCATTGCTATCAGTCAGCCAGGCATGTACATTTATGTAAAGCATTTCAAAGAACGGCTTTTGTCGAGCTGCCACAGTTGCCTAGTGGATAGTGGAGTGAACTATGGACCGCGAGATTTGTGGTTCGAACCCGTGTCTATTTTCATCAAATATTTTTGTTAGTTGGGATAGGTTTAATTGCAGGAAGAGCCTTGTGGTTGCGAAGGGCAATTTTTAAGGTTACGTAACACTTTATCTTGACTGAGACTACATGCACGGAAGTTGGCGGACGAAATTTTTGAAAACTAATTTCTCCCGTTTGTAAGACCGTATCTTTTTGAAACTTTCAGGTTTTATTTCCCTTATAATGATCCAAGTGTGTGCTAAAAATCGTTTTGATATGTTCATTGCTCTTCGTTGAAGTTGGAAAAATAGTCCTGTCTACGTGCATTTTCAAAAAGTTGTAACAATCTGGTGTTTGCAATATCTGTCAATCTTTTCAAGCCTCACAAATATTAATAAGGTTCCTATCCATTATGGTGTGCACTCAACATTTGCATAAAAGCCTCCTTCACGGGTTATTAATTAATACATATCACTCTTTTGCCGGCTTCCATTGGTCGATACCGAGACCCCCGCCAAGTCACGCCGAGTAGCGCTAATGAATATGCTCATACGCGCTTCGCTAATGAATATGCTCATACGCGCTTCGCCGAAATCGGTCAACCTACGGCTCAATAGGATCTTTGCTCAAAACCTCGTGAAATAACAACTTGAGTTGATTCATAAAAAATTGAGATAAATACATAGATTTGGGTATGTTTTCGAACAATTTCTTCCAGACTTGAATGTCAGCTTGACCAGTAAGCAGTATTGACGTTTCGGCATCGATGGCGATATTTTCACTGGCATGAAGTTTAGAGTTTCTTCTTCCGTTATAGCTCAACATTTCGATCATACTGACCATTATGCGGGGACATAGACACATAAAATGTAAAATCAAAGTGTTCACAAGCACAGAAATTAAGGCAAAGATTTCTGTTTCTCTTAAAATTACAGCTCGTTTCTCCCATACATATTTGACGTCAGGGTGCAGTTTTTCTACCTTTTTTTGTTGGTTAGTTCTGTTAATATTTTTCGAATCCGCAGATGGGAGGGGATGAGTAGCATCATTATAAAAACTGTCGTCCAGTAGCGGATCGGGGGGGGGGGTGCCCTGCCCATTTAGCCGCTGACTAATATGTTATGAAACTATGAAACTATGGTATGTTATGCATAGCCTTAGCATGCAGGAGAAATCATCATAGATTTCAAAATTTTTCCGGGGGTTTTGCCCGGACCCCCAAAGCATGGCGTGCCTTCAATCTCTCTTTATACCTACCCCTTCCCCTTCCTGACAGCTAGATCCGCCCCTGGTCGTCAGTACCCCTTGTGTAATAGTGATTTACTAACAATTAAGCAGACATGGGTTATTGTGTGAGTGGTGCCCCGTTTCCCTACAGCCTGAGTTCACCCTTGGTCAAATGCACGTTCTCCCTCTGCCACCTCTAGATCAAGAACATGATCTTGCTTTCGTGGCCAACCTCATCCCGCCGGGTATTTTCGTGGCGCCTACGGCCACCTTCAACTTCACCCGCATCCCCGGTCTCGACGACCACATCCAACTACCAATAGACGTAGACTACGACCCTGTAGATGGCATGGCGTACTGGACCGATACCACGCTACCCGGCGTCTGTCGCGCGTTTCTGGATGGGACTGGGTTCGAGGTGGTGGTATCTGGTCTTCAAAGTAAGTCCAGGCCTTTGCTACTATCCATCACACAAACAAGACAATGCAACCTTGTCGCGCTGGTGCCAGAGCTCATAAAACTCTTCTCAATTGATTGGGTATGGCTATTCACTGGAAGTGAACTTGGCGTTAATGGTAGCCATTTTGTGTTTTTGGGATAGCGTGCCACTTAAGCAACTGGAATTCGCAAGTGAAGTCAATCAGTTTGTCAGTTAATGAGTCAGGTACAAAAATGACTTGAGGCTGGCCCTCTGGGACCAGCACAATTGATCGTTACTCTTTGGTGCTGTCATAATATTGCAGAAACATGTAATAGTTTTCCACAAAATCGATTTCGCCTTTTATAGTACAGCAGATTGTTGATAAGATTGTTCAGTTTAATGATAAAAGCATGAAATTTGGCACACAGTCAGAGTATATCTTGGAAAAGATATTTGGCTATAGGGCCATTGCAGATTTGTCTTTTGAAAACAAATTATCATAGGATAACAAGAAATTTTCAAATTTTTAAAATGGCGGCCATTGCATGTTATTCTATGATATTTCTTTTCAAAACGACAAATCTGCGATGGCCCTGTAGCTAAATATCTTTTTCATGAAATAATCTGACTGTGTGCCGTATTCAATGTTTTTATGTCATCAAATGAACAATTCCACCATATTGTGCACCAATCTGCCTGACTTTTAATGCGAGTATATGTTTGATTCTCAGTTTTTGGTTTTCTGTGTTGGGAGGTCTGTCGATCCAAGACTTTATTTTTTTTGGGGGGGGGGGTCATGCACTGTTGACTCGTGACCTTTAAACTCGGATTGGTTTGGAACTGAAAACCTATATTTTTTTATATTTCACAAATTCACTATAATTGATATATTTTTGCGTTCATCATTTAAAGAACAAATACAAGGGTGTCCTGGCATTGCAAGGGAAACATTTCTTTTTCGATTGATGGTGTTTTCTTTGGGAGATGTTTGCTTACCAGCTGATTAGCATCCATACCAATATTGCTGTTTACGTGGATTTGTCATTAGCCCCGGAAGGCTTAAGCCTTGACGTTGAGAATCGTGTGATGTACTGGACCGATACAGGCAGCGATCTGATCCAGCGAGCTACCTTAGACGGTCAAAATAGATCCCTTGTTCTCAACCTGAGTGATCCAGCAGGTGCCGTTGAGCCAAGATCAATCGTCGTTGACGCTAGCAACAGGTTGTTTTCAAACATAAATTCCAATGCAATCGTTAAATACCAAAAAAAAAATTGAAAACCTGGCTTCGTGTAATTATAATGATCTGTATGGTAATCTGTTACATTGGCGTATCTCTCGCCCAGACATGTGTTCTTGAAACTCAATAGTTCTTGAGTCTGGAGTGCAGAATAGTAACACATAGCAACCCATGAAAACTGGTGTGCAAATGAATACCGTGGAACGCCGCTATAACAAGCATCGAGGGATCCACAGAAATTGTTTGTAATAGCGATCGTTCGGTATAGTGATTTTAAGCTGCCGGTGCTCCAGTACTCACTCCTCAATAAACAGCGCCCTTCACCCTGCATGCCCTGGTAGTTACTGAAAGACGACTTTGAACACGTGCCGACTACTGAATTATGTAATTACACATATTTTGTTTGCTTACTACCTATAGCAATAGGTGGCTTTCCCCTTATATTCCTTGGGGAATAATAGCCACTTGTCGCTCTTCTGTTGACAATTTTCAACAACAATGTTCGGTACGTTTTGTACACAAAAATCGGGAGCCAAGGATGATGTTCGGTATAGCCGAACGTTCGGTATAGCGGTGTTCGGTTTTGAACCTGCGACCTCAAGAATACCGTACCATTGCTCTACCAACTAAGCTATAACATGAAGTGAAATTTCTCATCTTGTTCTTGTGGGTTTTTTTACTGTTTTTTTATGCCATAGCTACCGCCCCAAAATGAAAAGGTTCATCGTTGATATTTGAACAAATATTTCGGCCGATACCAGAAGTGGAGTCACTGAGTATGATGATAATGTCGACTAATGAAAAAAATATCGACTAATGTCGAATAATGCGATTAATTATTGAGAGTACCATTCCTTGTCTTCTTTTAGTCATCTGTATTGGACTGACTGGGGCGCAAACCCTAAAATAGAACGGTCTAGCATCGACGGCTCTGGTCGACGCACTCTGGTGAACACCAGGCTGAAATGGCCAAATGGTCTGGCTTTGGACCCCACCGGTAAATAGCCCTACTGGTTTATTCATGCTTCAGACTGTGTCACTGTTACAATTGTGTTTATTTATTTGATTAAACATACACTTCTTTCTCTATCGTCTTTTCTGCTTCTCAGTAAAGTCCGATTATTTTTTCAAAAGTCCGGGGGTTTTTTTCTTTCACTTCCCCTCCACGAGCTCTCATCCTTATTTTTCCACAGCATCTCTTTATTTGGTAGTCTGAAATAACCTTAAATGTCTCACCAGCAGGGAAAATGTTTGCCTGGAAAATATATTTTGTTTAAATATCAAGTTGAAATACCAGTTGAGCTTAAAGGGAAAATACAACATTTGCAAACATCGAAAAATAAAACGACCATGTTTTTACGAAATACCTTACAGGATGTTGGTAAATGACAGTCTAAAGTATCCTGTAAAATTATGGCACCTGGGTGAAGTCATTTTCAAGAAAATTGTATTTTGTATACATTTCCAACGGTGGTCGGCCGTCCACCGTAGGAAAAACCTAACAATTTTTCACTACTGCTCCAAATTTACCATTTTCTTCAGTCCAAATTTTGTTTGCTATTGGTGTATGTTCATGAATGGGTTCAGGCCAGCTAGACTGGTTCCCTTACTGTACAATTTTCCGGCATCTGTTAATTAATCCATTTCATCTTCAGTGGAGTCAGGGAACCAGACCACTTGAACATGTTTGCTTTCCTTGGTTTTTCCAGCATTTTCGAAAACAAAACTTCAAACATGTCAGTGTAACAATAATTTGATCTATTAAACTAACCCCTCAAATAGTTCATTTCTGAAATTAAAGCAAAGCCAATGATGTACATTCCCTTTAAAGAGGACATAATTTGTGAAAATGATTAACGATTTTGACAGTATTTTGTGTTCATGGTACGGCAGATAGGTGATGGGATTGTGCCTTTGATGATACAGGCATGGCATTTGGCACACAGGCAGAGTAGGTCAAGAGAACGATATTTGGCTATACGGCCATCGCAGATTTGTCCTTTGTAAAAAAATGTAGGTAGAATAAAAAAAAAAATCTAACAATCAATGGTAGCCACAAAAAAAAAATCGAAAGTTGTCTGTTATTCTACCTTCATTTTTTTAAAAGACAAATCTGTGATGGCCCTATATCCAAATATTTTTCTCATGACATATACTCTGACTGTGTGCTAAATGCCATGCTTGTATCATCAAAGGCACGGTTCCCCCAAATACTTCCCCTATCTGTCCCATCACTGTTTGGTTGGATAACAGTCTGTGTCTTGACGTTTTGCGTGCCATCGGCATTCGTTATAAAAGTATGGAAACTTAGCTGAACTTCTCCCATCTTCGATCACCCCCCTCCCAAAAAAAAAAACCCATCTGATTCATGGCCATGCATCATTTGTACAGGTCAGAGGCTTTACTGGTGCGACGCCTTCACGGACCGCATTGAATCTTCCGATCTTCAGGGCGGAGATCGCAAGATTCTCTTGGATCTAAAGCACCAACAAATCGAACCATTTGACATCGGCGTGTACGACGGTTACGTCTACTGGACCGACTGGGCTTTTCCGGGTCTTCTTCGAGTGGATTTCGAGCTCACGGCGGTAAATGTCCACGGGTCTGCTAGCTTTGACAAAGCTGGAGGTCTTCGCATATACAAAGGTAGGGCACATTTTAAGGGATTTCACTTCTATTGTCACTGCTCTTAGGATTTATTTATTTTTCGATTTCACCATTGATGTACTGGTTGCTCAGTAAATGTCTAAGTGCTCAAGATTAATATTCTCTTTCCAGATACTTTTCAAGACCACAGTTGCCGTGATCTGATGCCGTGTCAAAATGGAGGGCGCTGCCGTCAGTTTCCGTCCCATTATGAATGCGTCTGTAGTGATAGATTTACTGGGACAAACTGCGAAAAGGGTGATTCTATTCCATCCACCCCTCCCGGCCCCACGTACCCATCTCCAAGTAAGCGTGCACGCACTCTCTGCACCTTTCGTTCAATGAACATATATAGCCTGAGTGTGCGTTCCTTCACTTAATATCTGTACCTGTATTTTATGTTCAGCTACGAACAAACATCGTCTTCTGGTTGTCGCATGCGTTGGTTGGGTCGTGCGCAAGTCCAAAATTAGGTTACAGGATGGGTTTTTGCAGTGAGATGTCCTATGTTGATGAAATACATCCTATTTTTGAATGTATTGACATCCGGTGCACTTTTTGTGTCAAGATCAAGGAGGTTCCATTCTGGAATTGTATCGTGCGAAGCATATGCCGGGAAACGGTATGGTGCGGCATGATCTTACCTATGAACGAGGTTGAAGACCATGTTAAATGAACCCCGTGCAATTACTATCCCCTCAGCGAAATAGTCACCGGAAGATGCCCTTTCGAAATGGTGAATCCTCTTTCCCACAGTTAGCTTCATTCCAGCATCGTTCTGAGTATTTCAACATTGTCAGCCTTGAAAGATAATCGCGAAATAGTTTTGATTTCACATACAAATAGCTTCGTTTCACACTTAACGTAATTGAGAAAAAAAATGGAGAAATATCTTATTTAGCATCTTCTCCTAATTTTGATAGACCTGTCCGAACTCATGATCATCGGTTGTCCTGGTAACACGAGTCGTCTTGTCGACGACGACATCAGATCTGTTTCTGTATCCTGGCCTGAGCTGAACGTGTCAGATCCAAGCTTACCGGTACTGTGGAACTCCAACTATCAATCCGGTGACATGTTTCCTCTTGGCAGTGTCACCATGGTGACATTTATGGTTTCAGACGAGCAGGGCAACGTTGCGTACTGTAACTTCACCGTTGAAGTGACAGGTCAGTTTTGTTATTTGAAATTTTGTACGTTATACACATTCGTGTTAAAATGTACACTTTCCACCGCTGCTAAACAGCACACACGCCGCGAACTATACCCCTTCGTCATTATTTTGAATTTAAGTTTGCCTTAATTAAGCCTATATACTTTTGTACATATTTCGTTGAGTAAATATTCTGGTACTTTACTATAATTTTGTTTTGTTACGTCGTGTAGTCTGAAAGTGTGTCAACAGTTAACACATTAAATTCAACCTGAAGACTTGAGACTTCCCTTATTATTGAGATTTGCCTGAGACATAACACGAGGAACTCGCGGACAACTCAGCTGGAAACTCAAAGTATACAGCTAGAAGACTGATAAAACTACTGTAACCAGTCAGAGGTTTGAAATTGTCCACATTAGTTAAGCTTGTTTTGTAGGATCTTTCATCTCCCCCACATCTTGTTCCTTAGGAGTTGGCCTAGATTGTCCATCTAATGTGACATCTGTCGCCAACCCAGGCGTTGTAGTCGCTAATGTGTCATGGGATGTACCCAGTGTCACCTTCAACGGTCCTCAACAACCGGTCATGTTCTACGATGGCAGCCCGTCTACACCTGATACCAGTGATACAGAAGCCAAAGTACGAGTTTACGCTGATTACCAGCCAGGAGATACCTTCAGTATCGGTCATACGCGTGTCACATATCGCGTCCAAGGACTGGAGACACAGTGTCACTTTCATGTCATTGTCACAGGTACGTCCAGTTTTCGCTAAAACCAATGTTGCTGTTTGTAAAATTGACTCAGCTGATTTTTCTGGCGATGGCTGTTAACTGTATCCTCGGAACAAAAATTCGTTTTTGCAGATCTGTCTCCACCTACCTTCATCAGTGGTTGCCCTGGAAACATAAGTCGTCTCACCGATGACAAGGATGCGTCCGTTTATGTGTCGTGGCCTGAAGTGACTGCTTACGACCCAAACACACCGTTGCTATGGAACCGCAGCCATCGTCCTGGTGACATGTTCCCTGTCGGTAGCGTTACCATGGTAACATACGTGGTAACGGACCAATCCAGGAACTCAGCATACTGTCGCTTCACTGTGTCCGTGACAGGTCGGGTCATTATTTTGTGTTTTGCTGAATGATTTTCACTGAAGTTGACTTCAGTAAGCAATGTTGATTAAGAACGCTGACTGATATACCGATAGTAATTCCTATAAATAACCAACAGAGGAGTGTTTGAATGATACCTGTCCGTTGATACCATTTTCGTATTTAGAACAAGGAAGACTTTTGGCTAACTAAACGCTTCTATGCAGGAGTCTTTACCAATGTATGCTTTAGAATTCTGTTTTCTAGTCCTTGTCCATTCATGTGTTTTTCCTTAGGAGTTGGCCTTGAGTGTCCATCCAATGTCACAACTGTCGCCAATCCTGGCGTTTCTGTCGCCCATGTGTCGTGGGATGTACCCAGTGTCAACTTCAACGGTCCTCCGCAACCAGTAGTGGTCTCCATCGACAATCCCAATCATCAGTCTGGAGATACCTTCACTATTGGTGCTAGACGTATCACCTATCGTGTTGAAGGACTTGGCATCCAGTGTCATTTTTATGTCAACATCTTGGGTAATTAATTCTTTTAGTATGAGAACGATGCCACAGGCAGACACTGTCCCTTCCTGAAAAACAAAAAAACAAAAACAAAATCTGCATTGATATCAAACAATGTTCTATTGAGTAGTTGCTAACTTATATTCATGGTTGCATAATATGTTCCAGCATAGCCAGAAATATTCGTCTCTTCAATCAGAAGGTCGCGCTTTCCAGACTTTACATTGTTAGAAATGTCTGTCCAAATATTGAGACTAGTGTTTTACTTGTATAGTGAGTATGGTAAATGTATAGTAAGTTAGTTGGATCTTTCTGAAATTCCGCATTTATTCCAGACACCGAGACTCCAGAGGTCTACGACTGTCCTGCTGACGTCACCATTCCGGTCATCTCGTCATCCAATCAGGTGGTTCACCGCTGGGATCCGCCCACTTCCACCGACAACTCTGGTTATGTCGATGTCACCTTCAGATGTTCCGGAACCCCAACTACAGATTGCAACCAAGCCGGAAGTGGCACATTCTCTGTTGGAGTAACCGTGGTTGCATATCATTTTAAAGACCAGTCCCAGAACAAGGCTGTCTGCACTTTCACCGTCGAAGTTACAGGCAAGTGATAAATTTGCCCAATTTCGATAGTTAATATGGACAATTTTTTGATATTTTGCTGCTGCGATAAAGAAAATCGGATGTCGCAGCGGTACAGGCAAAAAGGCATGTGTAATACGCAAGTAGCATTGTACCAATTAACTATGCAACCATTATTATCTTTATCTTTATTATCAGTTAGCTTCATTCCAGCATCGTTCTGAGTATGTAAACATTGTCAGCCTTGAAAGACAATCGCGAAATAGTTTTGATTTCACATACAAATAACTTCGTTTCACACTTTACGGAATTGAGGAAAAATTCGGAGAAATGTATTAATTAGCATCTTCTCCTAATTTTGATAGACCTGTCCGAACTCATCATCATCGGTTGTCCTGGTAACACGAGTCGTCTTGTTGACGACGACATCAGATCTGTTTCTGTCTCCTGGCCTGAGCTGAACGTGTCAGATCCAAGCTTACCGGTACTGTGGAACTCCAACTATCAATCTGGTGACATGTTTCCTCTTGGCAGTGTCACCATGGTGACATTTATGGTTTCAGACGAGCAGGGCAACGTTGCGTACTGTAACTTCACCGTTGAAGTGACAGGTCGGTTTTGTTTTTGAAATTTCGTACGTTATACTCATTCGTGTTAAAATGTACACTTTCTATCGCTACTAAACAGCACGCACGCCGCGAAATATACCCCTTCGTCATTATTCTGAATTTAAGTTTGCCTTAATTAAGCCTATATACTTTTGTACATATTTCGTTGAGTAATATTCTGGTACTTTACTACAATTTTGTTTTGTTACATCGTTTAGTCTGAAAGTGTGTCAACAGTTAACACATTAAATTCAACCTGAAGACTTGAGACTTGCCTTATTATTGAGATTTGCTTGAATCATAGCACGAGGAACTCGCGGACAACTCAGCTGGAAACTCAAAGTAACAGCTAGAAGACTGATAAATCAGTCGGAAGTTTGAAATTGTCCACATTATTAAGCTTGTTTTGTAGGATCTTTCAATGTATGACATCTCCCCCACATCTTGTTCCTTAGGAGTTGGACTAGATTGTCCATCTAATGTGACATCTGTCGCCAACCCAGGCGTTTTAGTCGCCAATGTGTCATGGAATGTCCCCATTGTCACCTTCAACGGTCATCAACAACCAGTCATGTTCTACGATGGCAGCCCGTCTACACCTGATACCAGTGATGCAGAAGCCAAAGTGCGAGTTTACGCAGATTACCAGCCAGGAGATACCTTCAGTATCGGTCATACGCGTGTCACATATCGCGTCCAAGGACTGGAGACACAGTGTCACTTTCATGTCATTGTCGCAGGTACGTCCAGTTTTCGCTAAAACCAATGTTGCTGTTTGTAAAATTGACTCAGCTGATTTTTTTGGCGATGGCTGTTAACTGTATCCTCGGAACAAAAATTCGTTTTCGCAGATCTGTCTCCACCTACCTTCATCAGTGGTTGCCCTGGAAACATAAGTCGTCTCATCGATGACAAGGATGCGTCCGTTAATGTGACGTGGCCTGAAGTGACTGCTTACGACCCAAACACACCGTTGCTATGGAACCGCAGCCATCGTCCTGGTGACATGTTCCCTGTTGGTAGCGTTACCATGGTAACATACGTAGTAACGGACCAATCCAGGAACTCAGCATATTGTCGCTTCACTGTGTCCTTGACAGGTCGGGACATTATTTTGTATTGTTCTGAATGGCATTCACTGAAGTTGACTTCATTAAGCAATATCTATTAAGAACGCTGTTTGAAATACCGATAGTAATTCTTCTAAATAACCAACAGATGAGTGTATAAATGGTACCTGTCCGTTGATACGATTTTCGTATTTAGAACAAGGAAGACTTTTTGTAACTAAACGTTTTTATGCAGGAGTGTTTACCAATGTACGCCTTAGAATTCTGTATCCTAGTTCTTGTCCATTCATTTGTTTTTTTTTAGGAGTTGGCCTTGACTGTCCATCCAATGTCACAACTGTCGCCAATCCTGGCGTTTCTGTCGCCCATGTGTCGTGGGATCAACCCAGTGTCACCTTCAACGGTCCTCCGCAACCAGTAGTGGTCTCCATCGACAATCCCAATCATCAGTCTGGAGATACCTTCACTATTGGTGCTAGACGTATCACCTATCGTGTTGAAGGACTTGGCATCCAGTGTCATTTTTATGTCAACATCTTGGGTAATTAATTCTTTTAGTATGAGACCGATGCCACAGGCAGACACTGTCCCTTACTGAAAAAAAAAATCTGCATTGATATCAAACAATGTTCTATTGAGTAGTTGCTAACTTATATTCATGGTTGCATAATATGTTCCAGCATAGCCAGAAATATTCGTCTCTTCAATCAGAAGATTTCTAACATAGTTAGAAAATGTCTGTCCAAATTATTGAGACTAGTGTTTTACTTGTATAGTAAGTATGGTAAATGTATCGTAAGTTAGTTGGATCTTTCTGAAATTCCGCGTTTATTCCAGACACCGAGGCTCCAGAGGTCAACGGCTGTCCTGCTGACGTCACCATTCCGGTCATCTCGTCATCCAATCAGGTGGTTCACCGCTGGGATCCGCCCACTTCCACCGACAACTCTGGTTATGTCGATGTCGCCTTCCAATGTTCGGGAACCCCAACTACAGATTGCAACCAAGCCGGAAGTGGCACATTCTCTGTTGGAGTAACCGTGGTTGCATATCATTTCAAAGACCAGTCCCAGAACAAGGCTGTCTGCACTTTCACCGTCGAAGTTACTGGCAAGTGATAAATTCGCCCAATTTCGATAGTTAATATTGACAATTTTTTGATATTTTGCTGCTGCGATAAAGAAAATCGGGTACAGGCAAAAAGGCATGTGTAATACGCAACTAGCATTGTACCAATTAACTATGCAACCATTATTATCTTTACAAGGTCTCCTTATTTCGATTTACTTGTCTGGCTTACATTACAAAAAAAATTGTCAGTCCTTTTTAGTGCTGTCTCTTACTACGAAATCCAAATTTCAGAATAATAGGTGGACAAATCGCGGTATAGGCCTACATTCTCTTTTTTTTAATCTTCAGTCGTCGATCTCGTCTGCCCGGCGAGTATCCGAGTCCTTGCTAAGCCAGGTTCTACAAGAACCAGTGTGCACTGGATGGAACCGGATCTAACTGGCTGGAGCGGGCCTACTAACTTCACCGCCAGTGCCGATTCTGGCACTGTGTTCTCCGTAGGGCGGCGTGAAGTGGACTACTGGCAGTGGTTTGAGCCGTTTAACCTGGTGTTGGAGTGTTCTTTCTCTGTGATGGTCGTAGGTGAGTAATTTGGCTCACCATTATAGAATCAAGTCAATCTTCAAGATTTGTCAGTTTCCTGCTCATGAAATCGGGGCAAGAAAAACTCCAAACCACCATAAAAAAAAGTTTACTTTGGAAGTTATCACCTTTGGTGTTTTATTTGAAGAACCATTGAGTCAACAATTTGATGTTTCGTTCAACATGCTTCGATCATCGTCAGGACAACTTGACTCACTACAGTTCAAATCTCAGTTTCAAATTCATGTTTTTTCAAAATGAACAAAATGGGTTCTATTTGGTGTCTGTTTTTCTTTGTTCGCAGGTCGCTGCGTATCAAACACAACTCTCGAGGGTCCCCAGATCCTCACCTGGCCTGTGACGATTTCAGGTTCAACGGCAAAATCAGTTGAGAGATGTAAACTTCTAACAGACAATGGTACCGGAACCTAAACGTTTAAGTATTAAGTTCTTTAAGTGTCTTCACCTGCACCTGTCTGTTAACTCGTTTACTGAATCTATTTCGCAAAGACGCTTATGGATCTTAATTGGTTCTACTCCTAAATACTCCGCTTGAGAGTTAATACATTTTTACTAATATACTAAATACTTCGCGTGGGAGTTAATACAGGATACCAGAAACGCTGGGGCAAACCCCTTCTCTTAGCGATAAGTGTCACTGTGTTCTTTTGCGTGCATTGTATTTCACACGGCCGGACGTACGGCTTTACGTCCCATCCGAAGGACGGAGCAATAATGGTTACGTGCCTTGTTTAAGGGCACAAGTGTCCACCCGGTGGGCTCGAACCCACGTCACTGTTGCCTCTGAAACACCAGAGCACGAGTCCGGTGCTCTTAACTGCTAGGCCATGACACTCCACGTGACCCTCCAAGCATATTTTGAACCATATATTTTACAAAACTCCATTCTCACAAGCACAAGGAGACCTTTTGCATAGTGACCTCTTGAAGGGAGAGTTTTGTTCATTAAAAACAGTGAATGAAAAAAAGGTCCATGCTTACCTATCACAGAGGAACAAAAAGGAGTTCCCTCAATCTGGCCACTTTGCAAAGTCTGTTGAACAACGGTAACACTATGGTGTCTCGATTTCGATTCCTTCAACATGCAGCCGGTCAACCACTTGCTGAGAGGAACTGTTCAGTTGTAGAACCTCCTGTGTACTTCCAATGGGAGCAGCACGAACCTCGCAGCTGTGGCGAAAATAGGAACGAGGTTACCATTCAAGATGTGGAGGAGGTAGTCCTTTTTTAACTTATCCTTTTCATTCTGGTCCGTGGGGACATGCCTGCAGTTATCTCACTGACTGACTGGCAGACCGACCGACCGACCAACCGACCGACTGACTGTCACCTGTAAATTAGGATTGCTTAAGCCTCACATTAGCCCAAACGTTGAAGATGGGATTACCACTTAATGCCGACCGACCGACTGACCGACCGTCCGACCGACCGACCGACCGATTAGGATTACCCCTAAATGACAACGAATGGGCTAAACTTGCCCACGGCGTGGGGTTCAGGGCCCGCTTAAAGGCCCCAAAATAAAAATGCTTTGTAGATGCTCTGTGGTGCGATGTCAGGTTATTTCTGACCACTTGAACCAGTTTTTTTAGGAAACGATTGTAGTGTACGCAGTGGCTGCCTTTTTTGTGACGTCACTTAAGAAAAGAAGATTTGGGCTCTTTTTTTTGGGGGGGGGGGAGGCACGATGGCCCGGTTGGCCCCCCGCCCTCCCCTTGGATCCGCCCTTGGGCCCTCGGCACACCGCACATGCACACACTACGCCTCCGGCAGTAACCTCTTTGTACCCGCCCATGACTTTGACTATAATTATGTGGAGAGGTCATTATATTTATCGCGAGAGGGGCACTGTTGCTTTTGATGGCCAGCTCTGTGACCATTTTAGTCGTGTGAGGAGGAGCACTATTATTTTTAAAGGCCAGTTTTTCATGAGAGGGGCACAATTTTAATATTGCGAGCGGGGCACTAATACAATTGTGCTTTTGAGGTGCAGTTTTACATCTCGAGAATTTATGGCGACAGGAGCACTATTGTTTTTGATGCCCAATTTTCCATCTCGAGTGGGCACAATTGTATTATTGGGAGGGGGTATTTGTGCTTTAGAGGGGTAGTTTTTGATCTTGAGAAGGTGCACGATCTTGTTAATGCGAGAGGGGCACTTGTGTTTTTGAGGGGCAGTTTTATTTGTAGCGCGAACGCGAACAAGTGCTTTCACGACTTGTGTCCATTGGAGGGGCAGTTTCGTTTTCATCTCGAGGGGTCACAGTTATAACCGCGAGAGGGCATTTTTGTTGGCAAGTGCCCCCCCCCCCTGCCCCGGTTCCGCCGCCCCTGGGGTAGCCTTTTTCTCGTTAAAACATTGTTTGTAAATGTCAATTATGATGACAGGTTGAGGTCAGTCAAGGGAATGCAATTGAAGTGGCCGAGTTTCTTGCCAATCAGACGTCAGAGTCATCTGAGGATGCAGAAGATGTGGAGGTTGTTTCAAACATCTTGGTGAACATCGCCAGAGCGGAATCAGGAGACACAGAGGTATGTGGAATGTAAAAAAAGAAAAGCCTCCTTTAAAGACAATTATCCATCTCTTTCCTTGTTTTGTTTTTCACACCACAGAATCTTTTACACACGAATCAAGATTCACTTAATGAGAAATTATCAATTGATATATTTGTTGTTTTTATCCTGTCTTATCTGAAGGTAACGAAGTTGGTGGTGAAGACTGTTAGCAATGTCATCAAGAGCACCGCGTCAGCTCCGGACTCGTCTACTGCCGATGCTGGTAGCTCCTCAGCCATCGTCCACTCCGTAGAGACCCAAGTCGCTTTGACTCTGAGACAAGAAGGTGAGGTCAGTATTCGCCAGGACACCATCCACGTCGAGGCGGTCAGTCTGGACCCCAAAAGGGCTAGCGGCGGTTTCAGCTTTGTGTCCGCTCCGTCATCACCGGACCTGCCAGTCGGTCCTGGCGCGCCACAAGAAGGCACACTTGCTGGCACCGAGGTCAAGACATTTGAAAACGCCAGTGATATACCGGATGATGTGGTGGCATCTATTCGGTTACCGGCGAACATTGTCGACTTGCTTCAGTCTTCCAGTGGTAAGTGTGCTTCGGAGATCTTTAGATATCTCGTCTGGTTTCCTGTCCAGACGATCCTGACGTCTCAAAACAGATCGTGGGTCTCAGTGGCAGCCGTGACATTCAGATATGGATCATGACGCAGCAAAGCCCAGCACTCGTGCGAGTGCATATATACTTTAGGCACAACGTCTACATGAACGTTGAATACAGATAGGCCTATTGCATGGGCAACACACCTGAATTTGAAATTCATAAAAGCTACCCTTGAATTCAAAAACTAGATTTTTTTTAGGAATAAGAACAAATGTTGGAAAATACAACCAAATTACACCCGGAAATCCCCGAGCAAGCGCAAACATACCCGAGTGCCGACGAAAACCAAAGTCGGAAAAACTTCGACATTTTCGGAAACTGGCAGTCTCCTATCCGTTTTGGTCACATACGCCTACCTGATCTAAGATTTGTTATTAAGTCAGAATCGTTTGGTCTGAGAACCAGACTATATCTTGTTATCTTGGTATCGTTCTTGGCGAGTTTCTTAATTTTAATGGTAATAATTGCCATTTGAAGGTAACACCACGCAGCTGCGGGCGAGTTTCATCGTCTACGCTGATGACACCTTGTTCAAATCGGCTCTGATCAAAGGTTCCACTGGAAAGAATGGCTCCAGCCTCCGGGTTGCAGGGTCTGTCGTCTCCCTGGCTGTGGAAGACGTTGAGTTGGTCAACCTCACTGAACCAGTGGTTATCGAATTCAAGGTTAGTAGGAAACGGTTATGGCGAGTCTTGCAGATATCAAATCAGTCTAAAACTGTTCATAGTAATTATTTGATGTAATGTAAGGTGAGATTAGGTTAGGGTATTCTATTAGATAGAGGGACGAGTTTGTGATTTTGATATCAAATCTGTCAGTAGCTCATCTCCGTTATTGCATCTTTGTTTAATTCTGTCCATTATGTTTTGTTTTATACATACTTTCCACCAGAATTTTCTTTTACATTTTTAAAATGATGGTCCATTCTTCCTCCTGACGCCCAACAACAGGCACCTGCAATCAATGAAACCGACAAGAACAGAACCATCATCCACTGCGTCTTCTGGGATTTTCAACTGAATGACAACGTCGGTGATTGGTCAAGAGATGGGTGTAGCCTCTCAGGACTGACCATTGACAGAGTGTCCTGCCACTGTGGTCATGCCACCAACTTTGCCATCTTATTAGTACGTGTTTTAAAGATGACTTGATTATAATCTTTGTTGTAAAAATTACGACTCTTAATACCAAAAATACATCTCCTCGAAAACAAAACCCTTAAATATGAGCCGCTAAATGTAGCGATTTAATGAAAGGATTTTTTTTCACTTATTTTTATTACTACTTTTGATTTGGTTTCTCCTTTTTACCAAGCATGGAGATGGCACAAACAACACAGTTTTTTTTTTTTGTATGATTAGCATGTGAACATTCAAATGTGTGTCATCAATGTAACATGGTAACTACATATTTATTTTAATTTTAACTTTTTATGTTTCTAGGATGTGAAGGGCCAAGCACCTGATGATAAAGATGACACTCCTGCTAAGCGAGCGCTTGATATCATCAGCCAGGTTGGCGCTGCACTGTCAATCATAGCTCTGGCTATTACGCTGATTTTATACCTAGCTATCAGGTAAAATATTCTGTTTGTCCTAACAAAATGCAAGAACAGTGAACTGGGCATGTGTTGCCGTACAAATGTTGGTCCTATTAGTCATGGGCTAGATCATTCTCTTAAAACATCTTCATGTTTCGCTAGCAAAAAAGGTCTTTAGGCCTACTGCCTCGGAATTTGCCCAGTTTCATTACAGTAAAAGGTTTTTGAATAAATGAGAACCAATGGGCACCTGATATGATAATTATGATACTAAACATGTTTGCTAGCTAATATCCTTGCAAAGAGGCAGTCATTTTAATTTGCCTGTGTTTGATTTTATTTGTATACCGCCATTGGACTCAACATGAGTATGTATGTCCAGAACCCATTTTGAAATCACCCATGTTTGGATTCCCCTTTCTAATTCACTTTGTTTTGTTCCTATTTAAATTACTCGAAACTGGTAAAGGAAGCTACGAAGCGGCAAATCTCGTCAGATCTTCATCCATTTCTGCGCCTCCTTGTTGATGTTGTACATCGTGTTCCTTGCAGGGGTTGACAATGCAAGAGTACGTATAGTTCCACTTTAAGCTTGTATCCTTCAATGTTTACATATAGACAGACCTTAAGGTACCTTATTTGGATAGCAATAAAAATGAACTACTTATCAGAAAGTATATATTTAGGTTTGACAAAATTGAGTATCGTGTGTACGATCGCACTGTTTGAATTCAAAGGGCTCTGGGGGCGGTTGTGTGTTCGTGGCTGCTTTACTCCACTACTTGACTCTGTCCACTATGATGTGGATGGCCGTTGAAGCCAGGAACATGTACGTCAGTACGGTGAAGGTGTTCCCAGAAGACACCCCTCGATACATGCTCAAGGCTTGCCTCATCGCTTGGGGTGAGTTTCTTTTGTAATTGTTTTGCTTTGTGCATGTGGTGAGCTTGTTATTCCTGTGACCTGAAAGAGTTATTGTACTCTGTTCAAAGTCACGATGCCTTGTAACCATTACAAATTGAAGTAGGCAAAGATGACACTTGTCTCTCTTTTATTTCAGGATCACCGTTGATAGTTCTAACGGTTACCCTTGCAGCAGCAATAGATCACTACCAGAATGAACACTAGTAAGTACAGCTGTTGTGGGATTATGACAGTCAAAGGTAACAAAAGGATGAAAGATTAGAGTTCATCTTATCTCCTTTCAAATGGGAACCGTCTTTTCTTGTGTAATTGTATATAATCAGAAAACCTTTTTGTTTTGGCTTTGATTTTCTAGCTGTTTCCTTGAGCCTGGTCTTGTGCTGTACCTCAGCCTCCTTGCTCCGATTGGTCTCATCCTCATCCACAACATCATCACCTTCATCTTGGTCATGCGCAGTCTCCTCAAGGTCAAGGAGGCATCTCGCTCCCAGCAGATCTCCAAACGCCTCCAGAATGCCGTGGGAATCTCCGCCCTAATGGGCGTGACCTGGTGTTTTGGGTTCCTGGCAATTGAAGGAGCGACTTTCGCCTTCCAGCTCATCTTCTGTCTGGCCAACTCCTTGCAGGTGGGTTTGAGTGGGTTTGCAAACCCAGTCAAGTCTTGGGTCTTACTTTTAATTCTTTGACTGAGTTGAAAGTCCACTGCGCTCTAATCTCATTCACACCACTGTTCACTATTACATTTTTTTAAACAGTGACTGATAGGATATCTGTGCACATTTTCCCGGACACCATGCAGTTTCAATCTGCACACGCTTAACAAACTTATTTTGAAAGCAAAAATGTGGTCGTTAAACCTATACCAATATTGGTAATCTCGCTGTCTTCCATTGTGTGCATTTTGCACATGATCACTGGGTAATTAGCACGCCTGTGGTTTTACTTGTACCCTTTACTTGTGTTCGGTGGAATACTATAGGCTAGAGTGAGACGAAAAGAATATCCAATTTTATTTTATTTTTTTGGTTGGTTCAGTGTACATTGTACCTCGCTGATGGACTCACTGACTCTCTGACCCATTGTTACTTGTGAGCTAGGCAGTGCTATTGTATAGGATTACATATATGCCCACTATGTACCCAGATGCATGAAAAGACTTAACTGAAAAGCCATTCTGAATCAATAGAGTAGACCTGTGTGCGCTCTGGTACCGTTTTTGTCATTCATGCCTTGCCTTGTTTTGTTTCCTCTTCTTGGCTTGTTAAAGGGTGTGATTGTGTTCATCATGTTCTGTGTTCGGCGGGAGGAGGTACGGGCTATCGTCGCGCCCTACCTGGGTCGTATCTGCTGTGGACACACCTGTCGTCTGCCCAAACGTCACGCCAACTGGTCCTACGAGCTTCAGCAGCAGAACGAATCAGCCGCGCCTAGCTCCCCAGTCACTGGGTTGACGAAATTCGACTTGTCCTCTTCGGGGAGATAGTGGGTTTTGGTTGGAGGGCTTCTTGTTGGTCCAAGAGGGGCGCCACCTATAGTCCTCTTCGAACATGACTCACTGGGTCGTATGAATAAAAACTAGCATTTGCTTTTACTGTACCAGTTTTTAAGCATTGACTTGCATCTGTATGAATAAAGCAAACGCCTTTACTGAAAAGCATTTGCTAAAATCTGAAAGTATTTTACTTTTTACTTGGAGCTCTTGCTAGACTGTAAGTATTAACTTCGTTTCGCTTGAATAAAAAGGAGTAAATGCTTAAGATTGCAAATATTTATTGTTCATTTTTCAAGGCTGGGTTGGGGCTACGTTGAAAACATAAAGCTAATACTTCTGCGCAAAAATGGCTGCATTTTAATTTTAATTGCGTACAATTAATGCAAAACGTTCATTTACTACATATAATATTACACACTTTATTTCCAATCATATTCATACGAAATTCAAATACTTGGTTTTATTATTAATTTCATTACTAGAAGAAACGATAATTTGCATTTTTTTTCACGATACGCGAAGTGTTACTGTGAAATTTCAATACAGCACAAAAGCATTAAGAAGAAATTTTATCCAACGGCATCCTGGGGATTGAACGAAATGAAATAATCATCCAGTTTATTCGGTAATCAATCTTTCCAAACTTTTGTTCTTCAATATTTCAATAAACAGAAAGCTTTTGTGAATTGAATTTCGGTATGATTTCACCCACTTTAACACATATCTATGATTTTTCGTCTACAGGACACTGTGGAGCTTTACAATTTTCATGAATGATTACAGTATACTTTCTGCATTCTGCAACTGGCGAAAATAGTTTTTGTTTTCATCATTTTTCGCTGGATTTGAGGATCAAAATTTAATGAACTATTGACTGTACTGCATGCATCACCTCGATTTGGACTGTTATCCTATACGTTTAAACCCTGAGAGTATGTGTACAGGTTATCCTTTACGACTGAGGACTTGGGACGATGGGGTGTGTGCGATAACAGTGGGTCCAAAGCTGTCCGAGGACCTGGGTACTAGTCCTCGGGCGAATTTCATGAACAAACCGTATGGGAGCTGTCGAGAAAAAGTTAAAGTGCAAACAAATGGGAACAAAAGAAGGAAAATGGCAGGTCCTCATGAGTATATTAAAGCACGCGTTTGTTGTAAATCGAAGACACACACGTGCAACATCATCGATGAATCGAGGACAGGAACCAAATTGAAGACTCCTCGGTTAGAAAACGTGTACAAAACAAATGAAAGCTGTTGCAAAAAAAAGTTATTATTACCTTAGAGTATAAACAATTACGGAAGAGGAACAATAGAAATTCCTCGATTTACACGTACCATAAAAAAACGTGTCTGGGTAGAGGCTTTCACTGCGTGATGGGGAAGTTTTTTATTGTTGGGCAAATTAGGACCGAGTTATGGGGACTTTTTGCTGTCCCCAGAGCATTTTCGGTCCCCAAAAATACCTTGTACGGACGAGTGTATACATGTGCGGCGCCATTTCTTACACACAAATGAGTCCACGCATGCAAACAATCCAACAGTAAAAAGCATTTACTACCTGTTGTCTAATTAATGCTGAACAGTAAAAGAAACTTTAATTCATACAGATTCAAGCATTTCCTTTTCCTTAATGCTTTTACTCCAATGTAAATGCTTCTACTTTTTGCTTAAACTTCCTAGCATTTGCTAGTTTTATTCATACGACCCACTGACTGACTGACTGACTTTCACTGTTAGTTGTGAATTAGCCTGGTTACCTATCTCACTGGCTTTTAGTCCCCATAACTGGTTCAGTTGGTAATACCTGGGTTTGTTGTTCTTTTGGATTTTTTGCTCAAGATTCTGAATCTGAGTAAAAATGTACTCTTCTCTAGGATTCGAGGGGTAACATCATATTAATTATGTTACCCAGGATGTATCGGTAAATAAAATGAGAAAAAAATAATAATTAAAAAAGTAAAGTTAAGTTCCAAATTACTCAGATGTTTCGCCGAAACGTGCTTTGGACAACATGCTTAATTGGTGTAGGATCTTTAAAACTTAATCTTTAAAAAACAAATCGGCAAACAAGTTGCATGTAAAATATTAATGGCTCAAATTTACAAAAGCTAAATATTGTTTAAAATTGTTTGTTTGAAATTGTTTGTGCATTCTACCTGTAAAGTTAGGTTTTCTTCGTCTTTCAGTTTAAAAACTTGTATAACAGAAGGCAAACTGTGTAAAACCGTCACATTTTTTAAGAAACCCGAAGTTGAATTAAAACCTCAGTTTGGTTTGGTTTAAGAACTTTCCAAAAAAAGATAAATTACCTCTTGTTTTTCTCTGACTGACTATAAATTCGAGGACACATGCATTTTCACACAGTGGTTTATTTGTCATTTGAACTTATATTCATAAATATCTCAACTCAGTGTGGATGGTTATTTTAAGCCCCTGAAAAAATACCGCTGCGTTCTGCGCCACATTGCGCAGTACGCGCCGCGCGCCCTTTCCATATAAGGATGCATTTTCAGCACTACGTGCTCATGGCACATACCATAGACATGGTTAGAAATAGTCTGAGTATCACCCGTTATCCACAGAGCAAGACTCAAGTATAACATCTGATATGTCTAGAAATATACATATATGCAAGCTGCGCGCAAGCCAATCGGAGTCGACTTTACTAAATCGTCACGTCATTTCATTTCTAAGTCAGAACTAATGGTTTGATTGGTCAATTCGAATGCAGTGTTTTGTAATGTAACAATAGCCGGGCGAATGATCGCGTAACATGATATCGAGCGCGCGACGCAGGGCTTTTTAATCCATTGTCTATGATGCCATTGTCTAGGATGCCATTGTCTATGTGAATGACCGAAGACCCGATATAGAAAGCGCCCGCTGATTTGTCAAATTCTAGGAGGTCAAGAGGCGGGGTCTTGCCTAATTAATCAGCGAATCTGCCCTCATTTAATTGTCTAAATTAGACTAGGTTAGCCGGGAGTGTGTCACAAAACATGAAGTAAAATTGTTTAACATAATTGTTGAAACATTGTGAATGTTTCTTTGTTTTGACTTGTTGACCAAAATATATTTATGAATGGGAATAAATAATGTGAACGCTGAAAACGGCTCGGGCAGTTATCCGCGTCCGGGCCCCTAGCAAATCCATACGTACTTGCTTAAAACCGGCCAAGCACATATTTAGGCCTATACTTTCTCAGTATTACAGGTAACAACCAATATTATGTAACTCAGCAAAGTAGTTTGAAATAGCTGCACAGAAATTAATGCAAATGTAAAATAGTTATGCAACTGAACATCTTTTTGTTGGTTTACTTTCTTCGGATTTGTTCTCGAATAAAATATATTCTTGTATATATTTAATAAAACATATTGCATAATTTAATCACTTTGTCCACTTTATTACCTGCGCCAAGGAGGTTACGTTTTCGGCGTTGGTTTGTTTGTTGGTTTGTCTTTTAACAAGATAACACATTTTACCATGTAACTGGTAAAATGTATTATACTCAGCCTAAAATCCTATTTGATCGTACTTATGGGGCTTCAATAATTGTACAGCATACTGTGCGCAAGAGTATCCTGATTAAGGAAAGTTGTATGCAAATTGGGATTCTGAACACCCTTGGGCAACCAATAGGAGCAGAACATCGCTTGCGGGACGTGTGCAAATTGTATTTATATTGTACATCGTATTGTATTTTATCGGGAGAGCGTGCGCAGATTTAGCCCTTGCAGCAGGGTGACCGTTTTAGCCGATTTTTGGCAAACTTTGACAGTTTTTTTGTTACAAATTGAGTTTGACAGAAAATTTGACAGAATGGATTTTTTTGGCAGATTTCTGGAAGAATCTTCAAACATGGATATTTGACAGATAAACATAGCAAATTTGAAGAATAATGGTACATTTGATTAAGAAAGCTTCAATCTTCTCAAACAAACCCTTGCATAATGGGACAGGTTGGCTGGTCTAGGTGCTTAAGTTCACTAGGAACCGGACTTTGTCGTGACACAACTGTGTTTAGCCTGAAATTTACACAATTTCATAACACGGTACTATGGATTGTTTATAAAGTAATTTGAACCTTAATGAAGGCAATACTACAACATCTACATGTGATTTTAAGTGTTTATTGTGTATTTCGAGTACTTCTGGGGACTTTGACAGATTGTTGATGAATCTGACAGATTTTTGAATTGCATTAAGCAGAAATTGGCCATGACCTTACGGTCACCCTGCCTTGCAGTGAGATTCACTTTCAGTCACGGCTTCAAACTGAAAACATCAACGCTCGATTGAAATTTTTTCCCACCTTCTGTATTTAGTACAGCACTATTGTTTGGGCACAAAAGTGGTTATTTCTTGGCATTTTTTTATTGGTACCCCGGAAGAGAACGAGCCCCATAATGCTGGTTTTGAGTGAACACTTGACTACTTAACTAAATTCAACTTGTAAACTAAATTCATTGTGGCCCGTGATGTGCCTCATGGGCTGATCCAGTAAACAGAATTACAAACATGTTAATCTCCAATCTACATGTATAGCCTATGATGTTCCACAAGGGCTATACCCCACTACATGTGCCTGCTGTGGGGAATGTGCACTACAATTTTATAATTATTTGATTAACCGTCAAAGGGGGCAGGTGTTTTTAATTAAGTGCTGAAGTTATAGCACCTTACTTGTTAATTGGTTTTATCGCTTGATTTAATAGTCTTTCACAACGGCCGTTGTTGGTGGGTAGTGGTTACTGGGTACCATTATCGTAATTGTGGTCTTGGGTATCACAATCAGTTTTAGCATCAAACTACGCGAGGTGGTCATGGGTACCTCCATACACAGTCTGATTGGTCTAAAGTTTCAAGATTTATTTTGCACGAAACTCAGCTCACAAAATATAAACAGTAATAATACATGTACATGTACATAAGTGTAAAATAGTACATTTTAATTCTTGTCTAGATTCTTGTTTTAGAATTATTGATTAATATAGAAAAATGTATAAAAGTATACAACTTCTGAGATAGCACTATGCAAATCCGGCTAGCCGCATTATGTATACACTATAGCGGCAATACAGGATCTTTGGTATGGGCCTTATTTACGAGTCGGCCATATTGAATTGAAAGTTAGGTAAAATCTTATTTTTTGGAACTTGCGAAGAGAAAGGAAAGCAAGTTAATTTATAATAAATTCCAGTCTGCTTCAATGAGTACTTGAAAATGTGTAAAACATTCCCTTATGTCTAAAGCCAGATTTAAAAAAATGACAGTAAAATAAGGCCGCATTGTACCTAAAATAAAATGTCTGGCGCCATCCCATTCAACAGTTAACAATTAATGAAATACATTCAGGGAACTCGACAAAAATGGCCAACTCGTGCATAAGGCCCTTACACCGTGCCGTAGGAGTTATGACGGCTTAAGTGCTTGATTTTTGGCCTGGATACTATAATTGTGGCCTGCTGGAAAATGCATTAGTGAATCATGCATTATTTATTCGTTAGTATTCAATCTTCACACTTTATAATAAGTTGGTTGGCTATGATTCTTTGGGTAGAATGATAGATGGGATCAAGAAAAAAAGTGTAAATGGGATACATATATATATGATTACAAATATGAAAGACTTTACCTTGTACATTTGATTGACACATATATAAATCTGAATACAATATAATTAAACAATGCTATGCAACAACAGTTACTCCGTAGTAAATGCAAAATACTATACACCAATTTTGTACAATCCACGAATACACTTAATATAGCTGTAACTTCTTGATTATTGATTTCAATGTCTAAACTTGAATAAATGATTTAAAATATAAAGTTCAGCAATATTTCTTAACTTCACTGTTGTTTACAGTGTTTCCATTTTGTGATAAATAGCAGGCATATATAGATACAGCCAAATAAGATTACAACAAATTAAAACCAAACGCAAGTATGTTTGACACAGTGACTAGCATTCATATAATTAGCAGTTGGCTTTTTTTCCATTCCACTCTTCACTGCATTTTGAATCACTCAAATTAACAGCAATGAGCGGGGAGAAGAAAAACGGAAACCGAAAGAAGCACTAACTGGAAAAAACTAAATTATCTTAAATTTAAAAAAAAAAGGCTTACATAAAAAGAAACTGATTTTGATGAGAATAATGTTTCCTTCTTCCACAACCACTAATTATATACAACTGCTGGTTTGTTACAATGGAATGATTTTGTTTGTTATGGTACAAGTCTTTGAAATGAAACAACCCCCCGCCCCCAGTAATCTGGATATTAGTAGTAAGGTAATGCTTAAGTTTGTCTGCACATTGTCTAAATACAGACTGCCAGTAAATTCTTCCCAGTTGCTGACAACTTGCCAATCAGCAAAAGCTCTGATTTACATGCAGCATGCACGGATCCATGGGGGGGGGGTAAAAAAAACACAGCTCTTACTCCAAAAATAATGTGAAACCCCCCCCCCCCCTCCCCTGACACCAAAAAATGATACTGGTAAATATCCGCCTGTGCACAAAATTCGGACAGAACCAGCTGGGTTACAGGGTTATTTGTACACTATTTTGTAATATAGTGTTAAATAATGAAAGGTTTGCGGAAACACCATGTTTGCGGTGTTTCCGCAAACCTTTCATTATTTAGTATCTCCACCATGCAAAGCCTCACATCTTACTTAATATAGTGTTAACGATCGTTCGATGTGAACAGAGCCCCTATTTAAAGTTCAGTAACGAGCAACCCCCCACCCCCCCCACCCCCCCCCCCCACTATTGATGTTACAAAGGCCAAGCGTCTACATTTCAGCACTGATTTGCTGATGAAACTCTCCTCCCCCCCCCCCCTGCAAATGGATCCGCGCCTCTGCAGATCATGCCTGCATGGCCATGGCCATGTTCATGAGGCAGTCATAGATTGAGTGCTAATAGTTTATCCAGTGGTGGTTATAGACTTTCTGCACAAGTACATCCCTAAACGGAAGTTGGGGAAGATCACTGGCAAGGACATGCCTGTTTTATCAAATGGTGCCTCAAGCTTACACAAAGACGTAACAAGTTTGTTACGTGGTGCACCCTTCTGCGTGCCAACAAGTGTCTACTTATATATATGGGTACATACAGGGTACTGAGAACAAAGAGCAACAATAGGGACAATAAAAACCCGCAAGTTGGTCTTTAAAAAATCTTGGTACCCCACATCAATAATGCCATGGCGTTTGGGGTTTATGGGGTACCACTATTGTCCACTTTGCTTCCCTGTTATTGTTCGCCTTTGTTTCTATTTTAAATCCTATGTATGTGCACGGGGTGTCCATGTCAGTGCCATCTACCATTTGTGCACGACAAGATAAGTATATTCTTCTATAAGTAGACTGTGAAGATTGACGTTTCAGACAGCGGGCATTGAAGCCTGCCTCTCACTAATACGGTCCTGACACTGACATGTCCAACTCAGCAGTGTGGGCAGTCGATGGTGAACTTGGCACCGATTCAGACATCGGCAGGTCGTAAGACCTATTCTTTTTCCAAGGAACCTGTACATCACAGGTGCGACCACAGCAGAGGCGCTTCATGTACGGCGCGAGGGCGGTGCGGACCTCCTCACGTCGCACGCAAAACAAGATGAAAACAATCAGGCCCTGAAATGAATTGAAAAAGGACTTTCTTAAACACTGATTCTCTCAATCAGAATGTGGTCCTGCTGATCAAGAACACACCATGGCCCTGTGGACCTTCATTCTAATATGGATTCTGTCAAAGGCGAATTCAACAAGAACATTATACCAATGCAAGGCGATACCTTGCAACAAACTTTCTTAGTTTATTAAAGACGCCAGCTTTCACACAATGCTTCAGAAAGAGAACTACAATTTTGCCGATTCAACTGTTAGCCTTAACCTGCCCAGATCTTTCAAAACCAACCAAGAGGTTTGAGATACATTTGTAGGGGTGCGGAAGGCTCTCACCACGGAGGCAACCAAGATGCCCTTTCTGTCTAATCCAACAAAAAAATGTGCCATAGATCTTGCACAGGTGGTTATTAAAGATTTAGTTTGGTTTCTCAAAACAAATGTTGGAGACAATAAGGTTCCATGCTGTAGTATGGAAGATATCCAACCTGAAAGGAGTTGGCCAGACAGAAGATGAGCTGAAATGCTTCTTCTGCCTCTTCGATGGCCAGGAATCCAAAACACCAGGTCAAGCCCATGAGGGTGGAGATTCCCACAGCATTCTGGAGGCGTTTGGAGATCTGCTGGGAGCGGGATGCCTCATTGACCTTCAGGAGACTGCGCATGACCAAGATGAAGGTGATGATGTTGTGGATGAGGATGAGACCAATGGGAGCAAGGAGGCCGAGGTACAGCACAAGACCAGGTTTAAGGAAACAGCTGAAAGGAAATATAATGTACATGATAAACAATAAGAAATTTAACATCTTCTTTGGGAACAGACAGACAATTTCTATTTCGTGATGTTTTACTTACTAATCCTCGTTTCTGTAGTGATCAGTTGCTGCAGCCAAGGTGATCGTCAGAACAATCAGTGGAGATCCTGGAAAACAGTTGATTGGGTAAATGTTAACATCTGACAAGGTACGTAATTCATGCATGCTTCATGTATTAGCATTTCCAAATATACGAATATTAAATTATGCCGAAGAAATTGCAAGAAACTCACCCCAAGCGATGAGGCAAGCCTTGAGCATGTAGTGAGGCGTGTCTTCTGGGAACACCTTCACCGTACTGACGTACATGTTCCTGGCTTCAACGGCCGTCCACATCATAGTGGACAGAGCAAAGTAGTGAAGTAAAGCTGTCACGAACACACAACCACCTCCAGTACCCTGTAATGTAAACATTAATCTTCAATAACTAACATTTTTTTTCCCAGCGACCACAATAATTGCACAAAAATCCATTTTACAAAATATGGAACATCACTTCATTAAACTGAAGTAGACCCCATTTTTTTCTTTTCGGTTATTATTTCAATCTTTCCAAAGAGGAAAGTGAACACAACTACAATCAGCAAAATACTTTTCTCACCTTATGTCTATTAAACTTCTAGTGTCAGTTCACACCTACCCTTGCGTTGTCGACGCCGGCAAGGAACACGATGTACAACATCAGCCAGGAGAAGAACAAATGGATGAAGATCTGACGAGATTTGCCAGTTCGCAGTTTCCTATGGTTACAGAAAAAGCTTATAAGCATTGTAGGAACGCCTTGCGTGGAAGAAAAACTAAGGAAGTGAATCCTGTGTAAGGTTCTGTGTGAAAGGCACTTTGCTACAAAATATCACATTTTATGCCCATGAGTGGCTTGTAATTTTAGAAAGTTCCTAATTAATGCAAGGGTTGACAGTTAGTGATTAAAAAAGTGTGAATCCAGAAACACTCATCTAGTGTCATTTCAGCTGCCTGCAGCTCTCGGCACTTAGATAATATTAATGATAATAATAATAATAATAATTTGAAGGGGGTTCATCCTTGCAGCTTAGAAGCTGAAAAACAAAGGACGTGGTTGAGCCAAGGGCATGTAAAGGTGCCGTAAGGCCGATTCATACTCGGCGCTAAAGCGCAAATTTGTGACATTAGGGCAGATTTTCACACTGGGAATTTGCAAAAGTTGATTAAATTTCAACTCTAGCATATTACGCAGCGAATGCTTTGTGACGCCTAATTCACACTGCATTCACAGTATATGAACCCACTTCTTGATTGCAAGACCATTAATTGATGTAAGTAAAATTGATTTAAGTGGAATGATGAACCTGCAACTACAACAAAAATGGTGCTCCAGCAACTAAGCTTTCTAGCCGTCCGCTCTTAGATAGTTTGAGAGAGATCTTACTTGATAGCAAGATACACAGTCAACGTGATACCCAAGGCAATGATGGAGATGACACAACCAACTTGGCTAATGATATCCAGGGCGTCCTGGAATCCATTTTGTTCACCCTGTCCTTTGAAATTCTAGATAAACGAACAACAGTAAATAAAGAAAGCTTGAATCTACATGCCATTTAGTGTTTCCCTCAGCACTTAAAAAGTTGAAAGAGAAAAAAAAATCTGAACTCTCTTTCATTCTCATCTGAAAACATTAATCCCATGAAGATACAACATTTGCAAATACCACAAAACAAAACGATCAAATAATCACAAAATACTTTACTGGATTGTTAGGGAATGACAGCTTGAAGCATCCTGTAAAATTGTGGCTCCTGGTGTGCTGACACTTTCAAGAAAAATGTTCTTTTCCAACGCTGGTTGGCTGACCAGCGTTGGGGAAAAACTTGCTTTTTTTCAAAAATTGCTTCTCATTTTCCATTTTTAGTTATTATGCAGTCCTGTGCAATTGGTTACACACCTGTGGAAGGGTACAAGCCTGCTAAACTGATTCTATGACCTTACACGTCCCAAAAGTCTATAAAATGCTCCATTTCATCATGCAGTCAGGAAACCAGACTATGATTGATTTTCCTTGTTTTTCCAGCATCTCTTGTACCAGCCCAAAAAGTGAAACAAGTCCGTTTAACAATATTTGAAATAACATACTTATCCTCCTAATCCAATTATTTCTGAAAATTGCAACAGTACTCCACTCGGCAGGAAACTGCACATTGTGTGTATATATTTTTTCCAAAAATTTCAAACATCGTAGTTTTTCCGGGCTCTGGAAAAAAATGTGTGTATGCATGCAATTTTTAGTTTCCCAACTTACTTTATAGTGAACTTCAAAGGACCTCTATAACAAGCGTGAAAAAGCAATTAAGAAACTTACCACAAGAATGGCAAAGTTTGTTGCATGACTACAGTTACAGGACACTGTATTATCGCTCTCTGTTGCCAGCAAGCAACCAGCCATCGACCAATCGCCAACTCTGTCGTTCAGATCAAAATCCCAGAAGACGCACTGGATTGTGGTTCTATTTCGCTCTGCTTCATTTATGGCTGGTGCCTGTTTGACAATGAGATACAACATTACACTGATAAACTCAATGACAATGAAACAAAACAAAATAAGACTGTACAATAACAATGAGTATCTAACCTATGATGGACTGGCTACCCAGAGAAGCTCCACAATATCTTTATGAAGACAAGTACCTTGAATTGGATGACCACTGGTTCGGTGAGGTTGACCAACTCAACGTCTTCCACAGTCAGTGAGACGACGGACCCAGCAACCCGGAGGCTGGAGCCGTTCTTCCCTGGGGAGCCTTTGATCAGAGCTGACTTGAACAAGGTGTCATCAGCGTAGACAATGAAACTCGCCCGAAGCGGCTGGGAACCATTTTCTAAAAGTATCAGCGATGTCAGAAAAAGACTTAAGACAGGCTCACCTTGTCTTAACACATTTTTAGTTTGTCAAAGGCAAAGTTATATTGGATTAATTAAGGGGATGGAGATGACACAAAAATAGCTATCGAGTAGGAAACAAAGTAATCCCAATATTTTTTTCAAAGGCAAAACGTATTGCAGCCCTTTATTACATTTTTTCTTTAAGGTAATGAAAAATGCCTTGATCTATGAATCAAATTTGTCTCTACTGAAAATCAGTCTTACCGTTACCAGCCTGTAATAAGTCGACAATGTTAGCCGGTAACCGGATTGAAGCTATCACATCATGAGGCACCTCACTGGCATTCACCGTGGTCGTGACCTTAGTGCCGGCAAGGCTGCCATCTTGTGGTGAAGACTGTCCGGTCTGCTGCTGCGGAGCAGACACGAAGGTGAGTCCGTTGCTAGCCTGCACTGGGTCCAGACTGACCGCCTCAACGTGGATGGTGTCCTGTTGTACACTGAAGTGACCCTCTTGTCTCAGAGTCAAGGAAACTTGAGCCTCAACAGACTGGACGATGGCTGAGGAGCTGCCAGCATTGACCTCAGGAGTCTGGGAGTCAGGAGTCTGGCTGGTACTCATGATGACATTGCTTACCGTCTGTATCACCAACTCTGTTACCTTCACGAAAATTATGAGTACTCGAATTCCACATGGTGTACAATAAAAAAAAACCTTCTAGGTTGGCCCTAGAAGGCCCCAGAAGGTTAGTTGACCCATGGCCATGGTTGACCATGTTCACTGCCAACCATCTCATGGCAAATAGCTTATTGGGGTGACAATTTGAACCTCTTTTGAAGTCTTAGCATGATAACTTCGGAATTAAGTTTAGTGCGACATCTTCTAGTGTTCGAAGTTTACTTTGGATGAGCAGGAAGTATGTGCCATCATTGAGGTAACAGGTAAGGCTCGTCGTTGGAATATCTTCTACAAATGTATTGTGAATGATTTCTTACCCATTGCTGATGCTGATTTAGTTTCATTGGTTGAGTGATGATCACATGCTGTCCATCAATAAATACAAGCTGGTACTCTAAATTTGCATAAACCACTAACTCGGCATTTTGACACTACAGTGCTGAGATACATCATCATAATCGCTTATCTAAAGCATCCCTTGAAAGTTTGAGTAATGCTAAGAATACTCTGCTTTCCTTGACCTATGCCAGTTTTGTGATCATGCATCTCACCTAGATGTGCATGAGTGCCCTTTGCAAATCAATATTTCATTTCTTAAGTTGCCTGTGGTGTATTTGAGAAGTTTGCCATCTTATAAAGCCACAACCTTGAAATTAGTAAAGATTCAAATTTATTAACATTTGCTTCTCTATTTGTACTCATGCAAGTTTTTAGTTTGTTGAAATTTTTTTGGGATCAGCTACCTCAGCATCTCCTGATCCTGCCCCGACAATATTCATCAAAATGGTGGAGACCGCTTCCACATTTTCTGCACTTTCAGACGACTCTGACGTCTGATTGGCCAGAAACTCAACCACTTCATTCACGTTCCCCATACTGACGTTAACCTGCCAAATACAGAATATACATTGATTCAGTTTCTCCATACCAACTTTCAGTCAATTTGGAAAGAATCTATTTGAACATCGACAGAAGTACGACGGTACACAAATTAAGTGGATCAACAGTATTCGTTATTACACAAATAATGAATATTACGAGTACAATGGAGGGAATAATTTAATGAGTTAAAAGATGGAAGGTTCCATTCAATGAGGTAAAGCCGAGTTGATGAATGGAACATTCCATCTTTCACCGAATGAAAATATTCTCTCCATTGCACGAATGCGAAACATCCATTATTTGTTTTATATAACATCCGAGTAGATCTTTGTCATTCGACTGGACCACTAATAAGGGAGACTGACTAAAATACACAATTAATCAATAAAAGTCAGTGTTGTTGACTCGAGTCGCTGACTCGGACTCGAGTCGGACTCGAGGTTGCTATTTTTGCGACTTGAGACTTGACTTGACTTGGGAAAAAAATGACTTGGGACTTGACTTGACTACATCTATGAAACGATTGTACACCAATAAGATCTGCAGCGCGGCGCTATAGCGCATGTATGTTTACACATCGCAGCAGATAATACCAACTTGTTTACCAGCAGTGCTTCGCGCAATGCCTGTTTTTGGCTATCCGCGATCAGGTCCACGCAGGTCGAGCCTTTCCTCTTTTTTTTGCAAATTTGAAGTTCATGACGTTAAACTCCTTTTTATCATTAAAAAAAATATTTCGAAAGTTACTCTCACTTAGTCTCTTACTTGTGGAGAAACTTACGTTACCCTGCAGATCGCCTGGCCATGGTGGAGGTAGGGGGATCACTGAAAATGCCGTTCTGTCTGCTCTTTCCACTTACAAAGTTTACATTTTTAAAGTATGCGCTCACAGCCGGCAACATAATGTGACAAACAAAATCAGCTGTTTCTTGTTACCATCAGAATTACCCACTGTCCTTTGCACGCGCATGCGCAGTGCCAAAAACAGGCTATCTGCGATAAGGTCCATGCATTGATCTCCATTAGTAAGTCCATGCCATAGCAGCCTCGACTCCATGTGCGTGTGCACGTTCCTTACATTAACCCCTGGCCGTGATGATGACGTAAATGACGCTGATTGGCTATTCACAGCGTACTGCGCGCACATTTCAAAGATTGCACGCCGGGCGCGCCCATAATGCGCTCACGTGCTTTGCACGTAACGTCACGTACGAAAAAAAAATTTGATATTCAAAAGTCGCGATGCCTGTACGATATGGATTATGGCAGCCTCGTTTTTCGCTAAAAAAACCTGTATCTTTGGTTGTAAAGGGACGAAAGGGGTACGTACATTTAATACAAATCTTTGCTAAATAACGCAACCTCCAAACGTTATGTTTGAAAGGATAATTGATTCTTCAAAATCACAACTTTTAACATTTTAAAGATGGCGTCGGCACGTAAAACGGATAAATTGCAGCCTAATTATAATGTGTCATATTTTGACACATTTAAATTACACAATTCCAGGGGTTAAGATCGCGCAAGGCATGATGGGAAACAACATGGCGCAACAACGCGTACCCATGGAGAATGAGGTTAAGTTAATGCCATAGACATATAACAAAACCTAGACACGACATTGACTGATTTTACGTTGTGAATTCTGTGAGCAAAACAGGCTGCGTCACGCGGCTTAGTAACGCGATGCACGAATGTCATGGCTTCGATTTACGGCATACTTCATACCTATACCATGCATGTTCAGGCCACTGCGAATGCACTAGTGCACTGCTTATAGGTTCTTTTTTTTCCTGCATGCGTACGGGACCAAAAGTTTTCAAATAACCTGCGCAGTGAGACCGCTCTCTTGCGCGAAGCGTTACGCCCATGATGAACATACACGTAATTAACACTCTATACATGCAGCATTTTGCTCACAGTCGCAATAGCAAATGTCGTGTCGAGGTTTTATTATATGTCTATGTGCCACGCCTATGGGCTCCATGGACAAGTACCCCAGCAACGCCAAGAAAAGGAGAGTTGGGGTGACCTAGACTGGTTCCCAATACATCCACCGCGTATTTCAAATGATGCAAAGTCATAATGGGGATTAGACTCGGAGACCATCGCAAGTTAAATTTGAATGATTCGAACATATTCACGCGCAGACGACGCCTGACGCTCATGCAGGAAGACGCTCTGGCTTAGCTTTCAACTTTCATTCAGGATAAAAAAGTTGTGCATACTTCACGCGCGAATTACAGTGCGCACATGCGGAGTCCTGTCCAAGTGGCTCTCAAGTGGTAAAAGTGCGCCCTCTTTTGTTGGCGCACAGAGCCTATATACATGTAGCTTGTGGGTTGCACCACCGTAACAGTGTATCACAGGTCACAGTTTTTCATATTTCACCCACTGGCAGTCAATTCCATTCATATTCTAAAGGGCTGAACTTCAAAGCTTACAACAATGACTTCATCCAGAGTAACTTCATTCCTTTCTTCTCCGCAACTGCGAGGTACGTGGTTTCCCCACTGGAAATAGAACGGCGGAGCTGCAACAGAGCAGTTGCGAACAGCTAACGGTTGCCCAGCTATTTAAAATGAACCAAGATATTTCATGGTTATCAAAAATTGATTTTGTTTTAATTTATTAAAATGATAAAAGAACAACCTCTTTGCTAGACTTGAACTTCCCACCAATGGTGAGTCCTGAAAAAGGTCCAGGAAGTGAACTATTCTGAGGAACATATTTTGTGCCACGTTCTACTTCACTCAAATTTATGAAAAATATTTGACATCCATTTCTTGCTATTTGTATTGAAGAGTGCACTTCTTTCAACTTCTAAAATTTGTCCATGCTTTTCTGGACATCTGTGGGCACTGTTGCTGTGATTTCATTTCTGGAAGACACTGTTAAGTTTTAAGGGGTTTTTGTTCAAATCGTAAACTCAAAGTTTTCTCATTGAAAACATTTGTGAGAAAAGTTTTCTCTGGTACTGCCGTGTACTGACACAACATAATGAATCACCAAAAGAGAAACCAATTATGACATACGACAGCGAAATATTCAAAATTGTGGTGAAGATTTGTGATAAAATGGTAATCATATACCTGTAACATTGAGGTTTTTAGATCTGCCTGAAATGACATCACACTTTTACTCATGAATATGGAAACGCCATTAGCATAAAAAAAACCAAAAAATACTATTACATGTACCCTTGAAAATTGGCACAGTGAAAATTGAAAATAGAGTAAAAAGAGACACAAAGACGTATTTTCAAGGATTGCATTAATAGCCAGAGCTGTGTGTCTGTTTGAAAACAGAACACAGGGCTTTTTCGCATTCTACAAATGTTTATGTTTTGTTGGTCCTTTTGCAGTCACTTTTTAGAGTGCTTCACAATTAAAGTTGTTTAAAATGCTTAGAATAATTCCTAAAATATAATTTTATCACATGACGCCACATGCCCTGCAATGACATCATCTTGACAACACTTGTCAATGCACATTTTTGCATATTGGTCTTGGTTTGTGCCAAGTTTGAAGTCAATCTGGTTAAAGGAAGTGTTAAAATTTGGAAGTGGAATGAAAATGTAAAGATTCAAAAAATCATTAAAAATCAACTGATGACGTCATGGTGATGTCATTTCAGATTTTGCATACTAGTACCATTATCTAGCTATCCACCAAGTTTTATGACGATCCCTTACATGTGATGCGATCAAGCTACATGAGTCCTTTGTAGACCCTGATCAAAAACAAATTTATTACAGATTTGAAAAGAACACAATCTCAGCATTACTGCTGTAAAAACTGCATGCTGATACGATCTTTAGTTTAAAAATTTTGGAAGATGGGACACCAAGAGATGTGATGAAGTGATGTGATGAAGTGGCCCTATTTTGGCCTGTATCTCCAAATAAAAATTCCAGACAAACGACTCATTTAGCTTGATCGCATCACATATGTGTTTACAAAAATTGCATTTTTGATGACGTCATGATGACGTCACACATTTTAAAATTTTGTGCACACACCTACTACCTAACAAACCAAATACAAAAAGAATTTTGAATTTTGCATGTTGCGTTCGTGAGATGACGTCATCATGACATCACCTCAATTTTTACCTATAACACATTCCGGTCTGACTACATACCAAGTTTCGACCCAATCGGACAGTTCTGTAGATATAGGACTTCAAAATATGCATGTTTGTGATGACGTCACTTGACCCATGATGACGTCATGATGACGTCACTCTTCGGGACACAACTATCCTATTAGGACTATGCCTATGCTGACTTTGAATGACGTACGACTAAGATTATTGCCAAAAGTGGCGTTGAGAAAAACGTGTACAAAGTCTATGGGGTCTAGGCGACAAGAAGCAGCCGCCAGCCCCAAAAGAAAGGCTTTTTCGCAAATTACAGTTGCATGGGTCCTTTAACCCTAACCTCCTAGGCCCTTTTTGCTATAGAAACCGTCCTCAATCCTCCAAAATCCTCCTCTTCCTCAAACGCCATTCACTGCCTCAATCCTTCAAAATCCCTGTATTCCCCCTATATTCCCTGTACTACCCAAAACCGACACACTTGTTTCTCCTTAAACTGCCAAAGATCCAAATTACAAGGCAAAAGAAATGCTATTGAAATCTTCTTCATATTCTTAAAATGTAGATCTTCTTCACACTGACAACAGTTGGATTTATTTTGAAAAGTTTTGCTCACTTAAAGTTTGTGACATCGCAAAGTTGAAAGCAAAGAAACAGCCAGTGAAAGTTTTGGGTTAAGCAATTTTCTAAGTGTGACATATAACAAATGTTAATTGTTTTCTTGGCAACCAACATTCACATTTCTCAGGCAATGAAATTGGCATACTTTGTACAGAGCAACTGTACTTGGTCGAATCTCGTTAATTGCTATATTTTTATGTCAAGCACGGCCTAGAAGCATCTGGTTCTTAGAAAACCGTTACCTAGGTGAGGTTGTGTCATCTCAACCATACTAGCTTCACGGGTGTCGTCTCACCTTTTGATGTCATAAGCAGGCACCTCTCGAACGATTCTGCTGTTGTGCCTCTTCTTGTTGCAAGCCACATCAACCGGCCATGCAGAGCATCATTTGTAATGCTGGCTGGACAAGAACCTTGAGTGCCAAGAATACAACAACGTAACATACATGAATGCAATAAATATTAATCAACATATTAGGCCAAATAAAATAAACAAACATGGTTCTCGTCCGGGTTTTTGAAAAAAAGGAGGAAGAGGGGCTTTTTAATTTTTTATTTTTTTTAAGAATTCAAAATTTCCTGCAACCGTTGGTGTTTCCACTGTTCAAAGACACTTTTAAAATGATAGACAAGTTGGACAAGAGAACTGAACATATTTACAGTATCATTTAGAGTTGTATTGGTATTGGTATTCATTTTCTGATGAATTTGTGGACTTTTTCTGTGTTTTTTTACTGCATTTTTCAAAAATAAAAAATAATTTTAAAAAATCCAGGCGGCCTCCAAAAAGGAAGCAGGCAGGGGCGAGAAACATGTTTTTTTTTTTTACTTCGCCTTACATACTGAACAAAGCAAGTAAAGATTGCTATTTTGTTAACTCTTTCAGTTCTTTTTCTATTTCCTTTCTGTGGACTTATGTAGTTACCACAAGAATAGAGGCCATTATTCAGGTCTCACACAATTGCAGGCACACTAATTTCTACTTCAATCAATAAACGCAATTCAAAATGAAGTGTGCCCCCAGCGTTTATCCCTAAACTTAAGTCTATTTCCAGCTCGAGGGTCGACATGGGTAACTACGCAACGTGTATCCGGCTACCGTGCTTTGAAGATGGCGGACATACATGTACAGCGAGCGAGATCGATGCGAGTTAACAAACTAAAGAAATATTTGACTGATCGCGGCATCCCACGTTGTGACAAGCAGGGGGAAGTGCAAGATTTGGTGGTGAAAGCATGTTATATGGGCAAGTTATGATGTTTTAGAGCCGTGCGCGATCGCTTTGAAGGGTCATGTGATATCTACTTTTTCCCACAATGCAGCGCATTCTTCCCAATCTTCCTTGATTTCAACCCTCTAGTGCAAGTTTAATGGTATTGTGAATCCCTCCTATTGCATGTTAACAATAAAAAGGCAGACTTCCTTCAAATTGAAGACATGTAGATGAGTTTGGTAGCACATCAGAAATTGCTTTTATTGTGGTGGCTCCGGGTCGACTTTTTGTTGTTAATCAGCTTCTCATGAATAAGCACTAATAGTGTGACTCGTGCAAAGTATTACCTAAATCGCATATAAGTCCTTCATTTACAAATTATGTAGGGTAAAAAAAAAAGAACATATCTCACTCACCTATAACCTGAACTGAGAACGAGCAGTCCAGAATTAGGCCGTACTCAAACTGCTGCCGGTAGTTGACAACATTGCTCCCTATCTCGAGTTCATCGCCAGGACTGAAGCTTGAGGTGAAGTTGGTTGGTCCGTCCCATCCAGTTAAAACCGGTTCCATCCAGTCTACACTGGTGTTGGTGGAACCTGGCTCCGCGTCGACTGTGAAATTTGCTGGGCACATTAGATCCACCACTAAATATTCATAATATGAAGAGACATTGTTACCATATAATTTCTTGCACATAAAGAGCTGTATGGGATTAAAATGGTGCCCAATTGTCGTGGAGCTCCCCTTCTAAAAAAAAAAGATACTGCAGGTAAAACTTGCGCGATCCCCCTGGCACTTGTGTGTGCCTTTTACTTACAGAACAATAACTTTCACGATACTAGAGCAACACAATGACATAAATATCTTTGGCTATACCTAGGACCAGAGTAGCCCTGGAGGTCAACTTTCACGACACTAGAGAAACAAGGTGACATAAATTGTTGGCTAACCAAGACCAGAGTAGCCCTGGAAGTCATGACCTGTCGCCTGCATCTTTACCAGACACCATCAGCAATAACCATATATCAAGTTTGGTTGAGATTGATGACTGTACTTTCAGTGAACCTTACCAAAATGGAACTCTCTGCCTTTCAGCCATACAGACGTATGAACATACCACATACACACCCACACAGTCGTTTTTTGCTATGCTTCCAAGGATCGGCTTTGTGTTTTCCTTCGTTCCCTGATCTAAACCTTTCCCATAGACTAAGCGCGCAAACTGGCATTCGAGGACAATAGGCACCATCGTCCGAGGATGAAAGGCCCCTTTGTGCTCCTTTGTTGTCTGTCCTCGAGCGTAATACAATACAAGAGCACACACGCAAGTGTGTAAATACCGGCAATCATGGACGCCCCATTGTCCCTAATCCTCTTTCCTTTGTTTGTACTTTTTAGCAACAGCTCTCATTGGTTTTGTACATGATTTGAGATCGTGGACGTTTGGTCAATAGTGGACGTATTGTTTGCGCCCCAATTCTTTTGTCCTACGTCCACGATCGCTGGTGTTTACACATGCATGCTTACACGCACACGTTTATGGTGTAAATCGAGGGTTTCTTTTGTTGCTCTTCCCCTTTCTTTTGTTTGTACTCGAACTTTTTCGCAACAGCTCTCATTGGTTTTGTACACGTTTTTTAATCGAGGTCGTCCTCGTTTTGGTTCCTGTCCTCGATTCATTGATGATGTTGCACGTATGTGTCCTCGATTTACACATAATCAAATGCACGGAAGGAATACGCGATCGCAATATCCCCCTGTATATGGCTGAAAAGCCAGGGGGATAAAAAAAGGAAAAAAACATATAAACTAATAGGTCTTCAAAGATAAGTGGAAAATTAAACAAGCTAATAGTGGATACAAACCTGTTACAGTGACTTTAAAAAGACACGTGGTATGGTTGCCAGATATATCCGTAGCGTTGTAGATCACTGTAGTAACACCAACTGTGAAGACCCCACTGCCGGTTCGGTTACATTTCAAAACTTTGATTGCTTGGCAACTGAACGTGACATCCACAGGACCAGCACTGTCCGAGATGAGAGGTGGAGGCCAGCTGTAAGCCACCTGATTGGACGATGGCTTAACAGGGATGACGACGTCACCAGGGCAACCACTGAACACCGGAGGTTCATTATCTAAGGCAGTAATTCAATAATTTCAGGGGAAACAAGAGTTGACTTGTTTCTCACAACAAACAATCTGACAGTAAAAGTAATGTTTCAGTCCGATTTCAATTATTGAAATCTCATTTGTATTTCAATGCTTGTTGTGTTTAATCTGTAATTGTCACTAAGCTCAATAGCTTTCAAGATCATTCCATGGACAGCTAAAAAAATGGGTTCTTTTAGTTAAACATGGATAACTTCTAATGGCGAGGATCAATTTCAGTAATTCTTTTTTATTTCAGATGAGTGGAAGAACATGGTTTTTAAAGACAAACTTCATTGGTGAATCAAATTTGACTGCTTTGTAAGAAACAAATATTGTTTGGGGCACTATCTTTTCGATTCACCCTGCATAATGGAAAGCGCTATATAAGCACACAGTTTACGACGATGTAATACAAGTGCTAATGGGTTAAATACCTCTAAATATGTGAATTCCAAGAGGCATGGTAAAACTTTCCGAGCCGTGATTCCCCAAAAGCCTTCCCGAAGCCTCAACACGCTTAATGGTCGATGATGCCGCGTCGGTCCAGTAGATAAAGTCATAGTAGACAAAGAGATGCAATGGATCTGTGCGCTCATCAAGAACAGTCCGACCCTGGCCCAACAGATCGGAGTATTCAATGCGGTCCAAACCATAATCACACCAGTACAGCCTTCCCCCTGAAGAACAAGGAGTCATTTCAAGGTAATATCACTAATCTTCAATTGTTTTATTATTATCATTATAATCATTATAGTTTTTTTGGGGGGGGGGGGCAAAAGGAGGAAGAGATGAATTGCTTCTTCATTTGCAATTCACACAGAGCCAAACCGTTTACACATTTTTGCTAGTACCTTCCTTCGATAATCATCCAATAAAATCAACCACTCTAAAGGAGCAATGTCAAATTCGTTAAACTTAAGTGACTATAGTTCTCACAATGCCTTACTTATAACTGGGGAAAGGGTTATACACAGTGTCTATTAAATCATGCAACGAGGGATTTGTTTCTGTTATTGGGGCAATTAACAAAAACACAAGGAAAACGCAGACAAAGATTACCTTCCAGATCAAGGGCTATACCATACGGATACAGTAGCGAAGTATCGATGAGTACGCGACGACCTGAGCCGTCGGTGCCAGATCGTTCAATCATCGGTACGGTACCCCAGCCAGTCCAGTACAAATGACTGCAAAACAAACAAGATATGAAGCAGGAGTCATGGAATGTCACCTCCCGGTTGTTGGCAGCAATAGCAAATCTGAAATGGTCCGATGGTATTGTGAACCTCATGTACATGTATGTACCTGTTAGCAGGGTCGACTACAATACCAATTGGTTGTACAGCTCCGAGGGAAGCACTTGCCAAGTTGAGAACCACTGATCGTTCCACACCATCCAAAGTAGCTCTCTCGATTAGATCACTGCCAAAATCCGTCCAATACATCACACGATTCTCAATGTCAAGTGTCAAACCCTCTGGAGCTAAAAAGAAAGGGCAAGAAAACTCTCTAATTTGATAGGAAACAAGACTAGGCATGCTAGGCGAGTACACAAAATTTGATTTGATTGATCTACACAATTGGCAGGACAGGGTTACTCCTATACGATGGCACTGCCCAGGTCACAAGTTATAGTCAGTCAGCCAGCCAGCCAGCTATGAACATCTTCATCCCTTAAAAATGTGTTAAAGAGCCATTTTCCCTTGAAATTACAGTTAACTAAATTTTCACAGATTTTTCAACATATTAAGCCAGATTAGGAGTCCATGAAAACACCCTTAAGAAAGTCCTTAAATGTTTACCCATGGAGTTAGACCCAGTGAACCGTTATGTATAACCAATGATTATCCTCAGTGGCCAGGGTCATTAAAAAAAAGTGAAAACACCCTTACACGATTAGTCCTATTAAATCCCCAAGTAAATGTCAATGAAACATCTCTTAAAGATTCTTTTCACGGAGAAGTGGACTTTTAATGAAAATTTAAGGGATCATGATGTTCATTATAGGCACAATGAGGGCAATACGCTGTCCTCTGGGACCATCACAAACACACAAAATGCCATGGTGGCTTACTCTGTAGATCCCTAAAGAGAACTTCCACTCCACTCCCGTCCAAAAAGGCACGATTTATAGTCGATAACCCGCTACCATAATCAGTCCAGTACACCATGCGCTCAACTGGGTCATAGTCAATGGCGGCGGGTAGATTTATGTTGTCATGGCTACCATCTAACCCCGGGATGAGGGTGAAATTGAAGGTGTCCGTGGGTGCGACATAAATCCCTGGAGAAATCAGATCGGTCACAAAGACCAAGTCATGGGGATCTAAAGGAAATCAAAGAAAACAAAGAAAATATTATTATCCCAGCTCGTACAGCCAATAAAAAATGATCCTAAGACCATCTAAGATCAATGCAGCCATTTTTTATATACACCACCGACTAAATCAAACACACAACCTCAGTCTGCCCACCCATACCCATTTTATTCGTGGACGGGAAGATTCTTCCCATAAGCAATGCATTACAGAGGGTCTTGCCCAAGGGTACACGCATTAGGTGAAGGCACTACTTTAGAACTTTTGCGTATACGTGTATGTACACGTACGCAACATTGTGAACACACATGACAGCGTCGTGCAATATGTACGTTGCATGCTCATTGTCGTGTACTGAAGGATCTGTGGTTTGCATACAATATTACATCGCCCTGGCTATTTTGTAAATGATGCAGGGAGTCAAAATGGGATATTCTTGCCTTTCATTCAACACCGCCATTGTTATTATAAAAATGCAGCGAGCTGAATTAACTCTTCACATTTACAGACAGGGAAAGGGGGGGGGCGTTCCCTCAAAACACCTCTCTGAAACACCTCCCACCCCAAACGTACGGTCCTATTATACTTACGGCTCTGCGATTCACAGAATTGTCCAATGAATTGAGGAGCACAAATGCAAGTAAACCCGGTTGAAGAAGCAACACAACTACCTCCATTCCAACAGGGGTCACTTGCGCACAAGTTACGTGTATCTGTGGAATTATATTATATGAATATTCATATATCTTCATGAAAATTCAGTCAAAACCACGTACCACATCATAACTATATTCTTCCAATGAAATGTGAATACCCCTTCAGTGGTTCGGCCCTTATTGAAGAAATAATGTATTTTCGAAAAAAAGATGTTTTTGCAAAAATCCACTGGGGGTTCAGAGGAGCTAAAACTCATTATCGTCATGAGGGCGCTCTATAACTGGGGAATGTGCGTACAAGCTGCCCAAGCATCGACCTCAGAGAATTTTATCTCCATGTTTATAAATTTAATGTGAGTTATCGATCTTTCTCTTGCCGTAAAAGTGGTTGGGAAAAATAGCGAAATGTCGGTTATATTAAGGGGGGGGGAACATTAAATAGGCAAAACATCCGTCCGCCGAGCTCATAAATGAAAGTTATACTACATGTAATAGTGTGACATGTGCATGGTTTTTGTTTTTAAATCGTTATAATCCTTCATTTTCAATTTTAGCTCAATAGCTTCTAATGGCAATTCCATTGACAGCTATAAAAATGGGTTCTTTTAGTTAAACATGGATAACTTCTAATGGCGAGGATCAATATCAGTTATTCTTTTTTTTTCCAGATGAGTAGAACATGGTTTTTAAAGACAAACTTCATTGGTGTATCAAATTTGACTGCTTTTTAAGTTACCACAAGAATAGAGGCCATTATTCAGGTCTCACACAATTGCAGGCACACTAATTTCTACTTCAATCAATAAACGCAATTCAAAATGAAGTGTGCCCCCAGCGTTTATCCCTAAACTTAAGTCTATTTCCAGCTCGAGGGTCGACATGGGTAACTACGCAACGTGTATCCGGCTACCGTGCTTTGAAGATGGCGGACATACAGTGAGTGAGATCGATGCGAGTTAACAAACTAAAGAAATATTTGACTGATCGGGGCATCCCACGTTGTGACAAGCAGGGGGAAGTGCAAGATTTGGTGGTGAATGCATGTTATATGGGCAAGTTATGATGTTTTAGAGCCGTGCGAAATTGCTTTGAAGGGTCGTGTGATGTCTACTTTTTTTCCCACAATGCAGCGCATTTTTCCCGATCTTCCTTGATTTGAACCCTCTAGTGCAAGTTTAATGGTATTGTGAATCCCTCCTATTGCATATTTACAATAAAAAGGCAGACTTCCTTTAAATTGAAGATATGTAGATGAGTTTGGTAGCACGTCAGAAATTGCTTTTATTGTGGTGGCTCCGCGTCAACTTTTTGTTGTATCAGCTTCTCATGAATAAGCACTAATAGTGTGACTCGTGCAAAGTATTACTTAAATCGCATATAAGTCCTTCATTTACAACTTATATACGGTAAAAAAAAAAAGAACATATCTCACTCACCTATAACCTGAACTGAGAACGAGCAGTCCAGAACCAGGCCGTACTCAAACCACTGCTGGTAATTGACAACATTGCTACCTATCTGGAGTTCATCGCCAGGACTGAAGCTTGAGGTGAAGTTGGTTGGTCCGTCCCATCCAGTTAAAACCGGTTCCATCCAGTCTACACTGGTGTTGGTGGAACCTGGCTGCGCATCGACTGTGAAATTTGCTGGGCACATTAGATCCACCACTAAATATTCATAATATGAAGAGACATTGATACCATATAATTTCTTGCACATACAGAGCTGTATGGGATTAAAATGGTGCCCAATTGTCGTGGAGCTGATCCCCTTCCAAAAAAAATACTGCAAGTAAAACTTGCGCGATCCCCCTGGCACTTGTGTGTGCCTTTTACTTACAAAACAATAACTTCCACTACACTAGAGAAACAAAATGACACAAATCTTTGGCTACCTAGGACCAGAGTAGCCCTGGAGGTCAACTTTCACAACACTAGAGAAACAAGGTGACTAACCAAGACCAGAGTAGCCCTGGAAGTCATGACCTGTCACCCGAGTCTAATCACTTTATCAGATACCATGAGCAATAACCACATATCAAGTTTGGTTGAGATTGATGACTGTACTTTCAGTGAACCTTACCAAAATGAACTCTCTGCCTTTCAGCCATACATACGTATGCACACACATACACACACACACGCTTACATAGGCATAGAAGTGGGGTACTTCCTTTGTTCTTGTGTACTAATATTTTGCAACGTTGCACACTTATGTCAAAATGCTCTTATTTTAACCATAGTTAATTTGGGCTGAAATTCAGACTTAACATCCCTTTTCTAAAACTCTTCCATTTGCGACAGATCAATCCACCTTGGAAATTCCTAGTTTTTTGAGTAAAATCCATATATCTATTTCGTGAAAAACTTGTGGGGTACCAAAACGGTACCCCGCAAGTCGGTGGGCATTCCTTGTGGGGTACCTCCCATTGTTCCGGTACCCCACAAGGCAGTGTTTATGGTGTAAATCGAGGATTTTCTTTTGTTCCTCGTCCCTTTTCCTTTGTTTGTACTTTTTTGCAACAGCTGTCATTGGTTTTGTACACGTTTTCTTATCAGGGTCGTCCTCGATTTGGTTCCTGATGTCCTCGATTCATCGATGATGTTGCACGTATGTGTCCTCGATTTACACCATAAACAAACGCACGAAATATCACAATATCCCCCTTTATGGCTGAAAAGCCAGGGGGATAAAAAAAGGAAAAAAACATAAACTAATAGGTCTTCAAAGATAAGTGGAAAATTAAACAAGCTAATAGTGGATACAAACCTGTTACGGTGACTTTAAAAACACACGTGGTATGGTTGCCAGATATATCCGTAGCGTTGTAGATCACTGTAGTAACACCAACTGTGAAGACCCCACTGCCGGTTTGGTTACATTTCAAAACTTTGGTTGCTTGGCAACTGAACCTGACACCAGCATTGTCCGAGATGAGAGGAGAAGGCCAGCTGTAAGCCACCTGATTGGACGATGACTTAACTGGGATGACGACGTCACCAGGGCAACCACTGAACACCGGAGGTTCATTATCTAAGACAGTAATTCAATAATTTCAGGGGAAACAAGAGTTGACTTGTTTCTCACAACAAACAATCTGACAGTAAAAGTAATGTTTCAGTCCGATTTCAATTATTGAAATCTCATTTGTATTTCAATGCTTGTTGTGTTTAATCTGTAATTGTCACTAAGCTCAATAGCTTTCAATATCATTCCATGGACAGCTAAAAAAATGGGTTCTTTTAGTTATGGTTTTTAAAGACATACATGTACTTCATTGGTGTATCAAACTTGATTACTTTTTAAGAAACAAAATATTTAATCCGGGTCACTTTCTTTCCGACTCATCCTGCAGAATGGAAAGCGCTATGTAAATACACAGTTTACGACAAGTGCTAATGGGTTAATTACCTTTAAATATGTGAATTCCAAAAGGAAACATAAAACTTTCCGAGCCATGATTCCCCAAAAGCCTTCCGGAAGCCTCAACACGCTTAATGGTGGATGGATACCCGTCGGTCCAGTAGATAAAGTCATAGTAGACAAAGAGACCCAATGGACTTGGCCAGACAACAAGAACAGTTCGACCCTGGCCCAACAGATCGGAGTATTCAATAATGCTGTCAAAACCAGAATTACACCAGTACAGCCTTCCCCCTGAAAAACAAGGAGTCATTTCAAGGTAATATCACTAATCTTCTTTTTGTTTTATTATTATTATTATTATAATCATTATAGTTTTTTTTTGAGGGGGGGCCAAAGAGGGGAAGAGATGAATTTGCCTCTACATGTGCAATCCACACAGAGCCAAACCGTTTACACATTTTTGCTAGTACCTTCCTTCGATAATCATCCAATAAAATCAACCACTCTGATGAAGGAACCCATGCAATGTCACATTCGTTCAACTTAAGACTACAGTTCTCACAATGCCTTATTTATGACTGGGGAAAGGGTTAGGCACAGAGTCTATTAAATCCAACCAGGGATTTGTTTCGATGATTAGAGCAATGAACAAAAACACAAGGAAAACACAGACAAAGATTACCTTCCAGATCAAGGGCTATACTATACGGAGACCGTAGCGAAGTATCGATGAGTACGCGACGACCTGAGCCGTCGGTGCCACACCGTTCAATCATAGGTATGGTACCCCTGTCAGTCCAGTACAAATGACTGCAAAACAAACAAAATATAAAGCAGGAGTCATGGAATGTCGCCTCCCACCTACAAATGTTGGCAGCAATAGCAAAATCTGAAATGTTCCAATGGTATTGTGAACCTCATGTACATGTATGTACCTGTTAGCAGGGTCGACTACAATACCACTTGGTTGTACAGCTCCGAGGGAAGCGTTTCTCAAGTTGAGAACCACTGATCGTTCCCGACCATCCAAAGTAGCTCTCTCGATTAGATCACTGCCTCCATCCGTCCAATACATTACACGATTCTCAATGTCAAGTGTCAAACCCTCTGGATCTAAAAAGAAAGGGCAAGAAAACTCTCAATTTGATAGGAAACAAGACTAGGCGAGTACACAAAATTTGATTTGATTGATCTACACAATTGGCAGGACAGGGTTACTCCTATACGATGGCACTGCCCAGGTCACAAGTTATAGTCAGTCAGCCAGCCAGCCAGCTATGAACATCTTCATCCCTTAAAAATGTGTTAAAGAGCCATTTTCCCTTGAAATTACAGTTAACTAAATTTTCACAGATTTTTCAACATATTAAGCCAGATTAGGAGTCCATGAAAACACCCTTAAGAAAGTCCTTAAATGTTTACCCATGGAGTTAGACCCAGTGAACCGTTATGTATAACCAATGATTATCCTCAGTGGCCAGGGTCATTAAAAAAAAGTGAAAACACCCTTACACGATTAGTCCTATTAAATCCCCAAGTAAATGTCAATGAAACATCTCTTAAAGATTCTTTTCACGGAGAAGTGGACTTTTAATGAAAATTTAAGGGATCATGATGTTCATTATAGGCACAATGAGGGCAATACGCTGTCCTCTGGGACCATCACAAACACACAAATGCCATGGTGGCTTACTCTGTAGATCCCTAAAGAGAACTTCCACTCCACTCCCGTCCAAAAAGGCACGATTTATAGTCGATAACCCGCTACCATAATCAGTCCAGTACACCATGCGCTCAACTGGGTCATAGTCAATGGCGGCGGGTAGACTGATGTTGTCATGGCTACCATCTAACCCCGGGATGAGGGTGAAATTGAAGGTGTCCGTGGGTGCGACATAAATCCCTGGAGAAATCAGATCGGTCACAAAGACCAAGTCATGGGGATCTAAAGGAAATCAAAGAAAACAAAGAAAATATTATTATCCCAGCTCGTACAGCCAATAAAAAATGATCCTAAGACCATCTAAGATCAATGCAGCCATTTTTTATATACACCACCGACTAAATCAAACACACAACCTCAGTCTGCCCACCCATACCCATTTTATTCGTGGACGGGAAGATTCTTCCCATAAGCAATGCATTACAGAGGGTCTTGCCCAAGGGTACACGCATTAGGTGAAGGCACTACTTTAGAACTTTTGCGTATACGTGTATGTACACGTACGCAACATTGTGAACACACATGACAGCGTCGTGCAATATGTACGTTGCATGCTAATTGTCGTGTACTGAAGGATCTGTGGTTTGCATACAATATTACATCGCCCTGGCTATTTTGTAAATGATGCAGGGAGTCAAAATGGGATATTCTTGCCTTTCATTCAACACCGCCATTGTTATTATAAAAATGCAGCGAGCTGAATTAACTCATCACATTTACAGACAGGGAAAGGAGGGGGGGGGGGGGCGTTCCCTCAAAACACCACTCTGAAACACCTCCCACCCCAAACGTACGGTCCTATTATACTTACGGCTCTGCGATTCACAGAATTGTCCAATGAATTGAGGAGCACAAATGCAAGTAAACCCGGTTGAAGAAGCAACACAACTACCTCCATTCCAACAGGGGTCACTTGCGCACAAGTTACGTGTATCTGTGGAATTATATTATATGAATATTCATATATCTTCATGAAAATTCAGTCAAAAACATGTACCGCATCATAACCATATCCTTCCAATGAAATGTGAATACCCCTTCAGTGGTTCGGCCCTCATTGGAGAAATAATGTATTTTCGAAGAAAAAAAATGTTTTTCGCAAAAATCCACTGGGGGTTCAGAGGAGCTAAAACTCATTATCGTCATGAGGGCGCTCTTTAACTGGGGAATGTGCGTACAAGCTGCCCATGGATCGACCTCAGAGAATTTTATCTCCATGTTATATATTTAATGTGAGTTATTGATCTTTCTCTTGCCGTAAAAAGTGGTTGGGAAAAATAGCGTAATGTTGGTTATATTACAGGGTGAAAAACAGTAAATAGGCAAAACATCCGTCCGCCGAGCTCATAAATGAAAGCTATACTAATAGTGTGACTTGGGCATGGTTTTTGTTTTCAAATCATTATAATTCTTCATTATCAATTTTAGCTCAATAGCTTCCTATGGCAATTCCATGGACAGCTAATGTATATAAATGGGTTCTTTTAGTTAAAGGGAATATACAACATTTGCAAACATCGAAAAATAAAACTACCAAGTTTTTGCGAAATACCTTAATAGGATGTTGGTAAATGACAGTCTAAAGCATCCTGTAAAATTATGGCACCTGGTATACTGTCATTTTCAAGAAAAGTGGTATTTTTGTATCAATTTCCAACGCTGATCGGCCGATCAGCGTTGGAAACAACTGGCTTTTTTTCAAATACTGGCCCCAATTGACCATTGCACTTGTTTGCAATCGATTACAAACCTATGAACGGGTACGAGCCAGCTAGACTGGTTCCCTGACCTTACAATTCCCCAATGTATGTAAACTGCTCTGTTTCTTCTTATATGAAGTCAGGGAACCAGACTACAGGAAAATGATCGTTTTTCTTGGTTTTTATAGCATTTTCGAACCCAAAACCTCCAAAAAGTCAGTGTAACTATATTTGCTTTATATTTCCAACCCCCCAATTCCATCCATTTCTGAAAATTACAGCAAAAGCAAATGATGTATATTCCCTTTAAACATGGATAACTTCTAATGGCGAGGATCAATTTCAGTTATTCTTTTTTTTTTCAGATGAGTGGAAGAAAATGCTTTTTAAAGACATACTTTCTTGGTGTATCAAATTTGACTGCTTTGTATGAAACAAATATTGTTTTGGGGCACTATCTTTTCGACTCACCCTGCATAATGGAAAGCGCTATATAAGCACACAGTTTACGACGATGTAATACAAGTGCTAATGGGTTAAATACCTCTAAATATGTGAATTCCAAGAGGCATGGTAAAACTTTCTGAGCCGTGATTCCCCAAAAGCCTTCCCGAAGCCTCAACACGCTTAATGGTCGATGATGCCGCGTCGGTCCAGTAGATAAAGTCATAGTAGACAAAGAGATGCAATGGACTTGTGCGCTCATCAAGAACAGTCCGACCCTGGCCCAACAGATCGGAGTATTCAATGCGGTCCAAACCAGAATCACACCAATACAGCCTTCCCCCTGAAGAACAAGGAGTCATTTCAAGGTAATATCACTAATCTTCAATTGTTTTATTATTATTATCATTATAATCATTATAGTTTTTTTGGGGGGGGGGGCAAAAAGAGGAAGAGATGAATTGCTTCTTCATTTGCAATTCACACAGAGCCAAACCGTTTACACATTTTTGCTAGTACCTTCCTTCGATAATCATCCAATAAAATCAACCACTCTAAAGGAGCAATGTCAAATTCGTTAAACTTAAGTGACTATAGTTCTCACAATGCCTTACTTATAACTGGGGAAAGGGTTATACACAGTGTCTATTAAATCATGCAACGAGGGATTTGTTTCTGTTATTGGGGCAATTAACAAAAACACAAGGAAAACACAGACAAAGATTACCTTCCAGATCAAGGGCTATACCATACGGATACAGTAGCGAAGTATCGATGAGTACGCGACGACCTGAGCCGTCGGTGCCAGATCGTTCAATCATCGGTACGGTACCCCTGTCAGTCCAGTACAAATGACTGCAAAACAAACAAGATATGAAGCAGGAGTCATGGAATGTCGCCTCCCGGTTGTTGGCAGCAATAGCAAATCTGAAATGGCCCAATGGTATTGTGAACCTCATGTACATGTATGTACCTGTTAGCAGGGTCGACTACAATACCACTTGGTTGTACAGCTCCGAGAACCACTGATCGTTCCCGACCATCCAAAGTAGCTCTCTCGATTAGATCACTGCCTCCATCCGTCCAATACATTACACGATTCTCAATGTCAAGTGTCAAACCCCATGGATCTAAAAAGAAAGGGCAAGAATCTAATTTGATAGGAAACAAGACTAGGCATGCTAGGCGAGTTCAAAATTCAATTTGATTGATCTACACAATTGGCAGGACAGGGTTACTCCTACACGATAGCACTGCCCAGGTCACAAGTTATACAGTCAGCCAGCCAGCCAGCTATGAACATCTTCATCCCTTAAAAATTCATTAAAGAGTCTTTTTCCCTTGAAATTACAGTTAACTAAATTTTCACAGATTTTTCAACACATTAAGCCAGATAAGGAGTCCGTGAAAACACCCTTAAGAAAGTCCTTTGTTTACCCACGGAGATAGACCCAGTGTACCGTTATGTATAACCAATGATAATCCTCAGTGGCCAGGGTCATTAAAAAAACGTGAAAACACCCTTACAGGATTAGTCCTATATAAGCCCCATGTAAATGTCCGTGAAACATCTCTTAAAGATTCTTTTCACGGAGGAGTGGACTTTTAATGAAAATTTAAGGGATCATGATGATCATTATAGGCACAATGAGGGCAATACGCTGTCCTCTGGGACCATCACAAACACACAAATGCCATGGTGGCTTACTCTGTAGATCCCTAAAGAGAACTTCCACTCCACTCCCGTCCAAAAAGGCCCGATTTAGAGTCGACAATTCCCAATCAGTCCAATACACCATGCGCTCTTTTGGGTCATAGTCAATGGCGGCCGGTTGACTTATGTTGTCATGGCTACCAACTAAACCCGGGATGAGGGTGAAGTTAAAGGTGTCCGTGGGTGCGACATAAATCCCTGGAGGAATCAGATCGGTCACAAAGACCAAGTCATGGGGATCTAAAGGAAATCAAAGAAAACAAAGAACATATTATTATCCCAGCTCGTACAGCCAAAAAAAATTATCCAAAGACCATTTAAGATCGATGCAGCCATTTTTTTTTTATATACACCACCGACTAAATCAAACACATAACCTCATATACCCAACAACATATACCCATTTTATTCGTGGAAGATTCTTCCCGTAATTAGCAATGCGTTATCGAGTGTCTTGCCCAAGGGTACTCGCATTAGGTGAAGGCACGACTTTAGAATTTTTGTGTATACGTGTATGTACACGTACGCAACATTGTGAACACACACGACAGCGTCGTGCAATATGTACGTTGCATGCTAATTGTCGTGTTATCTGTGGTTTGCATACAATATTACATGTACATCGCCCTGGCTATTTTGTAAATGATGCAGGGAGTCAAAATGGGATATTCTTGCCTTTCATTCAACACCGCCATTGTTATTATAAAAATGCAGCGAGCTGAATTAACTCATCACATTTACAGACAGGGAAAGGAGGGGGGGGGGGGGGCGTTCCCTCAAAACACCACTCTGAAACACCTCCCACCCCAAACGTACGGTCCTATTATACTTACGGCTCTGCGATTCACAGAATTGTCCAATGAATTGAGGAGCACAAATGCAAGTAAACCCGGTTGAAGAAGCAACACAACTACCTCCATTCCAACAGGGGTCACTTGCGCACAAGTTACGTGTATCTGTGGAATTGTATTATATGAATATTCATATATCTTCATGAAAATTCAGTCAAAAACATGTACCGCATCACAAGCATATCCTTCCAATGAAATGTGAATACCCCTTCAGTGGTTCGGCCCTCATTGGAGAAATAATGTATTTTCGAAGAAAAAAAATGTTTTTCGCAAAAATCCACTGGGGGTTCAGAGGAGCTAAAACTCATTGTCGTTATGAGGGCGCTCTTTAACTGGGGAATGTGCGTACAAGCTGCCCATGGATCGACCTCAGAGAATTTTATCTCCATGTTATATATTTAATGTGAGTTATTGATCTTTCTCTTGCCGTAAAAAGTGGTTCGGAAAAATAGCGAAATGTCGGTTATATTAAGGGGGGGGGGGGGGGAACATTAAATAGGCAAAACATCCGTCCGCCGAGCTCATAAATGAAAGTTATACTAATAGTGTGACTTGTGCATGGTATTGTTTTTAAATCGTTATAATCTTTCATTTTCAATTTTAGCTCAATAGCTTCTAATGGCAATTCCATTGACAGCTATAAAAATGGGTTCTTGTTAAACATGGATAACTTAATAATGGCGAGGATCAATATCAGTAATTCTTTTTTTTTCCCCAGATGAGTGGAAGAACATGGTTTTTAAAGACATACTTCATTGGTGTATCAAATTTGACTGCTTTTTAAGAAACAACATATTTAATCCAGGTCAACTTTCTTTTTGACTCACCCTGCACAATGCTATATAAGCACACAGTTTACGACAATGTTATACAAGTGCTAATGGGTTATTTACCTTTAAATATGTGAATTCCCAAAGGAGTACTAAAACTTTCCGAGCCGTGATTCCCCAAAAGCCTTCCCGAAGCCTCAACACGCTGAATGGTGGATGATGCCACGTCGGTCCAGTAGATAAAGTCATAGTAGACAAAGAGATCCAATCCACTTGTGCGCTCATCAAGAACAGTCAGACCCTGGCCCAATAGATCGGAGTATTCAATGCGGTCAAAACCAGCATCACACCAGTACAGCCTTCCCCCTGAAAAACAAGGAGTCATTTCAAAGTAATATCATTAATCTTCTTTTGGTTTTATTGGCTTTTCGCAACTTTTGCGAAAAAGCCTTTCTTTTTGTTCTGATTTTTTTTTTCTTCCTCTTCTTCCTCTTCTTCTTCTTGAACCACTTCTTTTTTGCACAAAATCCCATAGACTTTGCACACTTTTTTTCTGTACGCCACTTTTAGCCTTAAAACAAATCCGATTTCCTTCAAACCTGGCACATACATGTACTTAGAACATCACGTGCAGATGTATGCCGAACATTACGTCATGCTGACGTCATCACGCGATTTATTATAGAATTTTGAATATTTCATTTTTCCCATAGACTTTGTACACAGAAATTTTTTAAAAATTGTCGATTTTCAAAGGGCATTTTCAACTCTTTGCCAGTAATTCATTCACATCACTCTTTGTCCAAGCAAAGACCCTAATTCAAACAACATTGTGTAATGATGACGTCATGATGACGTCATCCGGTGTTTATTTATAGGCAATTAAATTGTGACACTTTTTAATATTTAAAAATGCATAAGAAATCAACCGTACGCGTCCGCAGCATTCTGTTGCCAGCAAGTACGTGGTAGAGTAGGTTGAGGTCTTTATTTCATTCAGTTTGCGTGCAATCACGTGACCCTTGCTTCCGGTAGAAAAAGGCCAAAACCGGAAGTGGCTTCTTATTTAAAAGTGGTACCGGTAATAGATATGAACTTGCTTTCAACGATGATAGTCTCTTGGCTGAAAGTATTCTTCAAATCATCTACCGATGACGTCATGCAATCTTCGAGCACCCTCTAGCGACAGGTATATGAAAATTTTCAAAAATGTATTTTGAATAGATGTCTGTGGCGAAGTTTGTCGGAATTGCATAAATATTGGTGTATATGATGACTTTGACCCACTTAAGACGTAGGCGAAGTTTTAGGCGTATGACGTCACAGACTGGAAGTTCCGTTGAAAAGACCTTTCCTTTTTCAAAAATTGCCACCAAATCAATCCGTACAGATATAATCTTGAATTGGCCATTAAATGATAGCGTAAACATTTGCCTCAACAGTGCCAAGTTCCCAGCTTGTCAAATTGTTCACACAGTTGACGAGGCGTCGGCAAAAAATACCCTTGCACAAGTTGCGGCAGAGAGAGTAAAAAATGCCTACTCAATAAAGCAAGCATAAACCACAAGACGTGTACATGTATGTACATTGATCAGATTCGGCATCGCCTGCTTCCCATACACCACACACGCACATGGTCGTTGAGGGCGCGGACCGACTAAGCGCCACATTGTCATACTGTTGATGTCTCTGGCGAAGTTTACGGCAATCACTTCAAAATATTGTGCGGCGAAGAAATTCTCCTACATAAAAGAAAGCGAAAAAGCCCTGTGTTCTGTTTCAACAGACATACAGTTCTAGTTATTATTATCATAATAATCATTATAGTTTTTTTTGGGGGGGGGGGTTTGGGGGGGGAGGAAGAGATGAATTGCTTCTACATGTACAATCCACACAGAGCCAAACCGTTTACACATTTTTGCTAGTATCTTCCTTCGATAATCATCCAATATAATCAATCACTCTGCAGAAACCCATGCAATGTCACATTAATTGTGACTATAGTTCAAACAATGCCTTATTTATACTTTTAACTGGGGAAATCATTATGCACATAGTCTATTAAATCTAACGAGGTATTTGTTTCTGTGATTAGAGCAATTAACAAAAACACAAGGAAAACGCAAAGATTATGTAACCCAGAAAAATGGAACAAAGGAATTGGACCTAGGATCTCTAGAAAATCGCGAGGAAAATTAAGTTGGCAAAGAGACAGAGATTCAAGAGCTATCACTGGAACGCATTTATTTCTCCTGAACGACAATTAAAAAAAAAAAAACTAAACCAAAAATAAAATTATGAGACTAAAAGAACAACCGATTTTGTACCTGACACTTGACCAACCTTGATTTTCTTCTAACCAAACAAATGTAAATGACCTTTGACTTTCCCTAAAGATAAAAAACTTGCTATGAACCAAAAAACTCAGTATAATGATCACAACTGAAACTAAATAAATGAAGCAAAAATAGACTAAACAAATCTAAAATGACACGAACCAATAGACAAAAAAAACAACTCAATCACTTCAAGCCATAAACCAACCAAAAACCATAAACCAGATAAAAAATAAAGAAACCAACAACTAAAACCTAGAATGAAGATTTAAAATTAAAACCAACAATAAAAACCTAAGATTTAAAACCAACTAAAATTAAAACCAATACAGCATCAAAAGAAGGTCATAAATCGAAAACAACAGCTTAAACAACCTGTAGAAATAATAAAAAAAAAACGCAAAGTAAGTATAGAACTAAATGAGTACATTATAAATCCTAATAATAACTAGGCCAACCTAAAACAGGTGCTCTATTCTGGCAATACCACACACTCATCCTTATCAATGCGATTAAGAACTTCTGGCCACTGCATAAACAATCAACAGTGCTGAGTTGCCACAAGCATAGTTATGTGTGCTCCAGGTAACAACACTAACTTTCTTGTGCATACTAATGAGTCTTGCCTTGTCCATGTGCTTATCTCCAAGGTCATCTACTAGGCTCTGTGGCCAAATCCAGCCACCCAGGCTGTCAGCTAGAGAGTTTACAAGTCACTTAGCACTTTTTGCATACGTACACTGGGGAACCACTATGCCTTAATTATTACCACAAAACATACAAAGCATTTCATCAACCAACTGCTCAGTGGACTAGGCAAAGTCTAAAGCCCTATTATCTTAACTGGTGGTCAACCTGATAAAAATAAGACACTGTGGCTGGGCAATGTCCCTTCAGAAAAGTAAAGAAATGCATCATACATGTGCACAAGTAGGGACTCATTATACAGAATAAATGACAAGTGAAGGATTTACTTCCAACTATCTAAATTCTAACACTATTGGTTAAATAAAAAATCCAGCTATGTAAAAGATGAAATACACCTGTGCAAAACTTAAAAGATCACTTGTTTTTCTTCTCAAGTTCTCATACAACGAAAAAGTAAAGTTGTAAACCATGGGACTAACCATCGAATACGACATACATGTAGTATAATGCACAAAAATACATCACGCAAAAGTAACTCTCTTGTGAATCAATCTTAAACTCCAAGTGTACTTGAACTTCACACTCCGTATAACAAGAAAATTTCAATCTCAGGCCACAAGAACAAAAGTACCAATCGGATCACTAAATATTTATCTATTAAATGTACTTTCACTTCTTAGTTAACAAAACAACACAAACTTGAGCTTACCGAATCCAGCAGCAGACCAAATTTTCAGGGTAGAAAAGCCATAGATTTTCAAGGGAATCTGCAGAGCAAAACTAAATGATGCTGCCCTGCCTTCTACCAGTCTGCAAAATCAGGCATGGACCACATGGTCTCACAGATAAGGGGGTCTCTGTTCTGGACAGGATGTTTACTCTATCCAGGGGGCGTACACTACTATCCTCCTACAGCACTGCTATTATTTTACTGTGTCATAAACTTCTACTTAATTAACTTAAGAGGGCTACAACACAAACTAAGCGTATGCAAGTCAGGGGGAGGGACTCCTATATTGAAAACCAAAAGCTAATGCAAGTTCACTATGTGGCCCTGCCACACACTCGCCAACTAAAATACATTGCTATCCTTAGCAATGGCGCAAGGAGAGTGTCAAGAGTTATTACTAGAATCCTCGAAAATTGTGACCACTATGGGCATAATTCATTAACTATTCACTGCCAGTCTCCAAACCTGCGAGGCGGACGGATGCTTCTCTTTGGTCGTCGGCTGGTCCTCACCTCCAATACACTGTCAGAACTAGCGGAGCTATCAGTGGACACTTCAGACTCATCAGCTGTACTGCTACCATAGGATGACTCTGGTTCTTCATCCTGCAACTGATGTGGGGGTGGGGGTAGATGGAGATGCGGAGAATAATCTTCATCCTGGAACTGTGGAGGGCGTTGAAGTAGATAAACCTGAGGTCCGTCCACATCTTTGGACTGCGGAAGGGGTGGAAGTAGACCCTCATCTGTTTCATCCTCTACCTCGAAAGGACAAATGGCCAGTAGGTTTCGATGTAGATTTCTCGTCTTCGTAGATCCACGTTGCTGAATGGTATATACTGGCAAGTCTCCCAGTTGCCTAAGGACGATGTAAGGTATTTCCTCCCATTTGTCTCTCAGCTTACCTCTGCCTCTTGGTGTTTTGTTGGCGACAAGGACTCGATCTCCTGGCTGAAGTTCTCTCTCGGTTCCACGAATCTTTTTGTCATAGTTCAACTTTTGCTTGTGCTGTGCCTTCGTGGTTGCGAGCTTCACCTTTTCGCTGACATTCCGGAGGTGTTTCTGCATCTGCTGGACGTACAGGGACTGGGGACGGCTCTCCTCTGACTCTGGCTCCCCTGGAGTTACAAGGTCCACGGGTAGCCTAGGTTCCCTCAAGAACATCAGATAGAATGGACTATAGCCTGTTGTCTCATGTCTCATACTATTGTAGGCATAAGTCATCGACTGCAAGTGCATCGCCCAGTTAGGCTTCTGGTCAGGTTCAAGGGTTCCCATCATAGACAATAGCGTCCGGTTGAAACGTTCCCTCATCCCGTTGCCTTGGGGGTGGTAGGGAGACGTTTTACTTTTCACAGTACCGAGGAGATTACACAGCTCCTTCACTATAGCTGATTCGAAACATCTCCCCTGATCAGAGTGAATACGTTCAGGGATGCCGTAGTTCTTGATATACTTCTCCCATAAGACTCGTGCCACTGTATTTGCAGTCTCATCTCTCGTCGCGTACGCCTGTGCATACCGGGTGTAGTGGTCTGTCACTACCAGGATGTGTTCGAAACCACCTTTCGACCTCTCCAGTGACAAGAAGTCTATACAGACCAACTCTAATGGTCGGGTTGTCTGGATGCTCTGAAGGGGTGCTTGTCACCG